ATGTAATTGACTGTGGATTGGTCAATTCAAGTTTTAATTAAGCGATGCTCAGCATGAAAAGCTGTAAATTGTCGATGTTTAGGCCTAATTTTTCACTCCAATCAAAATAATTGTGCAGCAAGTATGTCATTCAATATTTTTGTTTCATTCCAAGAAAAGTTTTAGTAATAGTTGATTAGTCATAGAGCCTTCAGTGTGTGTAATGTCATCTGTACGGGGAATGTGGGAGTTTTTATTATAGAGCATAAATATTATTCTCAAGTGTTCTTAAAGCTGTAGAACCCTGCCAATTTGAGCTCAAAATTTGTCCAAGTCTGAGAGTAGCAGACACAACATCTTACTATGTATATAAATGCTCGACCACTTTGTTTTTCGTTTATACATTGGTCACAATGCAAATGCCACCTCGTCCCAATCTATTTCTTTCTTCTTTACGTTCAAGCTGTTCTTTTTGATTTGATATGTTAACATTTCTTTGCCATCTATTTCGGACAACTACCATTTTTGTCAGAGGTATATTTGTGTCTGAAGTAGTGACAAGTATTATTTGAAAGATTAAATTAAAATCTTTGGACAGTTAAATATTTTGTGAATGATTTTTATGTATGTGTCTCTTTGTTTATTAGTACTAACTGCCAAATACACTACCCTTGTATGTCCTTCATAGCAAACTACATGTAGACAAAATGGATTAAAACAAAGCATCCATGTCTGATTAAACGAACAGAGTTAGAAAATTATTATAAATTTATGAACATTCAAATCAGATTGATATCTTGCAATAGGCGCATGCTTCCTAATGCTGTAAAGATATTTTTGATGATTATCATTGCAGAATTTTCGAAGTAACCCTTAAAGCTTATTCAGTTTCGGCACGGTAAACTGCCGCAGTTATTTTACGTGTAGAGGAATGGCAACTGCATGGAACAAATGTCATTTAAGTATTTACTTGGCTCTGTGGTTAATATACAGATATGTGAAGTGTACATGTATTACATTTAAAAACTGAGGCATATCTGAAAAATGCTGTAGAATGATGACAATTTCTCAGGCTTTATATTACAGTGCCCCACTTTTTCAAGTACCCAAAAAGTGCCCCTTGTATTTGCCCCCTTGTAAGTGCCCCCATGAATTTGTAAAAGTGCGCCTTTCCCTTTGACATTTTCCTTTGCAATAAGTGTCCATTTTCCATTCTCATAAGTGCTCTTTTTAATCTCTAGTAAGTGCCCTTTTTCACTTTTGATAAGGGCCACTTTCCCCTTATAATAACTAACCCCTTTTTAACTCGGATAAGGGCATCTTATATTTTCACATGTACTCCTTTTCCTTTCTAGTGAGTGCCCCCAATTTTTAAAAAAGAGCCACTTTCCCTTTTCATAAATGCTCCTTTTCATCTCTGGTAAATGACCCTTTTCAGGTATGAGAAGTTTCCCTTTAGATAAATGCCCCTATTCTAATCTAATCATTTTACTTTGATAATTCCCCCTTCCCCTCCTATTAAGTGCTCTTTTTATCTCTGATGAGTATCCTTTTTCACTTCTAATAATTGCCCCTTTTCCTTTTTAATAAATGCAATTTTTCCTTCTTATAAGTGCCCCTTCCCCTTAACCTTCTCATAATTACCCCTTTTTTAATCCCCAATAAGTGTCCGGTTTATATTAAAGTGTCTCTTTTTCTTTTTAATAAGGGCCACTTTCGCCTTCTCATAAAAGCCCCTTTTCAACCTCCAATAATTTCCCTTCTAACAAAGATACATGCTCCTTTTCACCTGTTATAAATGCCCCTTTTCCATCGAAAAAAGCCCATTTTCATTAGTGCCTTTTTTGCAGGTATAAGAAGTGCCCCATTTTTTACTCTGAAAATTACCCTTTGTACTTTAACACATGCTCTTTTTCTTTTCTAATAAGTGTCATGTCCCTTTCGATAAGCATCCCCTTTTCCTCTCGTCATTAGACGCGTCCCTAATTTCAAGCGACAGAGCAGTTTCCCCTGAAGGTCGCTTGCTACACTCGCTCGCATTTATAGATGATATAATTAGGAAGATCTTCCATTATGAGAATGTGCCCCATCAGGATTGGGTTTTTTCCTCTTAATAAGATGTATAGGATGCATTAGTTCCTAGATTCAAGTATCATCAGTCTGCTATATGAACCCCCTTATGCTTGTTAGTGTGTTATATCCCATTATTGCCACTTACATTCAGCCCACCTCCCATTGCATGTTTAATTAAATTAGAACATTTATTGATAGTTCAAATACATATATTTATCACACATAAAGGCCTGCTTTGTAAATAAAAATCATTTATTTTTAAATATTCTGATACATTAATATTCTGATACATTCGAATTATGTTTCATATCAATGACCTAACAAAGAAATACATACATGCTTTAGTAAAAGACATTTTAGATTCAGAATGCCAAAATTGCATTGGTCCAACAGAAATAACAATCTTTTGAAGGACAACAACTCAAAAAACAAAATCAAGTTTTCAAGTTTAAAAATAATAGCCTGTGGTAATTCAGGAATGTCCTGATCATATGAAGTAAGATTTAGACTTCCAGACTTGCATTTAGTTTCTGCATGATAAATCAGACAACAAAAATGGTACTACACTGTATCGGTAATAGCGGTGGGTTCCTCCTGCATAATTTTCTAGTAAATTATTCAAACATCACATTTTCATGAAATATATTGAATAATTGAGAGGAATTTTCCTCAGGTACACTGTCAAATTATTCTTTTGAATTGTGGACCATGTAAACACATGTGCAAGATTTTAAAAATCATTTAGTGATATATAAAGGAAAAATTCTCTGAAATCTGATATGGTTGTAATTCTGGGTTTACTTGGCACCCTGTGTTAAAACATGCCACAATTACCAACACATACCATTGTTCAAGAGAAATAAATCTCCCTCTCCACTACTGACTCTTTTCTCAAAGCCACCAAAAATGTTAAAACTATCCTTAAACCATATTTCAAATGAAATTCTGGATTTTCATGCCAGCTAATAATGTCTTTGGGTCATGAACTGACTTGGTTCAAAATAAATCTGTTGGTATGTAGTCCAACACAATTCCTTGTCTTGTGAATCATTGTTAGTAGTTAGAGTATGATATAAGATGGGGGGTGGCTCATGTAATAAAGACAAAAACAGTTATTTTTGATATCCTTAGCAGTTATACGAGGCATCAACAGGGCTCTTCCCATGTGCTGTTATCCTGGCTGTTATTACTTTAATAAATTATTATTTTAATTTTACTATCATAGCATTGCACTAAAACTTGCTTGTTAATATAAATCAGCAGCAGAATATGTTGGATGGACTAAGAACAACACATGCAGAGTTTACTAGACATACCTTAAGTTGAATCCAACATTAGATCAGAAACATACAGAGCATTTATTTCCCCAACATACAAGTAGATCAAAACTTATAGTAACAAAACCATTAAGCATGGGGAATTTCATTAGTTATATTACAATAACAAAATCATTTTTCTTTCCACATCTTCCTTAATCTCTCAAATATTCACTCATTCCACAAAAATAGTTGAAAGTTTTGATAGGGATTTTGGTACGTGCTTCATCCAAATAACTTTGTATATTAACTAATAAAACGTATATATCTATATATATATTACTCTCTTGTGTGATACAAAAATACACATATGGGAAACAACAGAACATAGACAAATTCAGTAGAGAAACAAGAAAGGAACAATTAAATTCTACATAGATATTTACACAAAGATGAAATTCTTAGACTATAAACCGACTTTCTCAAAACAATTTCAACACATATCCTACATTCCCATATTTCAGAAAAATTGGACAATGCTATGTCCTTAAGCCAAATGATTTGCCATGTCACTAAAAAATAATTAACCTCCCTATGTCAAAGAAAAATTAGGTCGATAATTTTCCTGATGGACATGTTATATTGAGAGAAATAAATGCATTTGAGTTTGTAATGTAACAAACAAACAGGCCATACCTATAACATTGGAGGACATTCTGTGGATTACATTGTTTGTGGTTCAAGTCCCGCCGCAGCACTCATGTCCTTTGGCAAGATATCAATCTACATTTGCCTCTCTCCACCCAGGTGAAGTAAATGGGTACCCGGTAGGAAGAAATCCCTTGACACCTACAGCGGAGTTAATACTATGATACTTTGAATCAGTAAGCGCAGCAGAGTATATTCATATACTAGCTGCAGTTCATAAATGGACATATTCATTATCATATAACAGCTGCTTACATGGAAAGAAATAAGATCTTTGTGTGCTCTATGTATAAAGGTACTACGTGTATGTTGAAAAATCAGTCCACAATAATCAAGGAAAGCAAGATCACATATGGACAAATCAAATATTGTATGACATTTCTTTAAAATTAATCATCTCATTACACAGAGTTACAAAGAAAGTCATATCTTAACTTGAAAACCAATGTCAATTTTCCATTTTTCAATAAGAAATTTTGATATTCCATAAACCTTTCATGTATGTTTTTCATTACTTTTTCAATCAATTTGATTATCCTCATGCCCATGTAAACAGGTTAAATAATATATATAATGAAGGCATACCATTCAGCTGGATTAAATTTCTGAAAATGATTGTACTCATCCAGAAGTGGCAAGATTTAATTTTTTTGGCCTTCATCTTCAAGTGTGGATTTTTTTGGGGGGTAAAGAAACTTAAAGGTAAAGACCAGTATTGGAAACGCCCCAATTTCAAAAAATGAAATGGAAGCTCTTATTACCAATCATGTGAAAGAATATGTTTTGAATATTACATGATGATAAAAATTTTGACGGGAAACCGCCTACTAATTGATATATTTGGTAAATTAGTGTATCTCTCGCCTGTTGAGAGATATGAAATGCATGTGTCGCGCACGTGTGTGTAGTCCCATATACATCGTTCTGTGTACAGTGCTTCTAACTTGGCCAAATTTCTTATCATTTTGATGATTCTAGAACCTTGCAGTACATCTATGCTAGATGATCAACCTTTTCTGATCGATTTTCACAACGTTTCTTTCACAATGCAATCGCATGACCATAACTGGTCTTTAGCTTTAATTGCATCACACAATTGACACATTGTCTGTTTGGAGCCAGAAGGATAGTAATTCATGTTTGACACAGAGTTAACGCCCTTCTGGCTCCTAACAGATGATATTGCCCCCTCTTACTGCAACAAGTCATGTTAATTGTGGAGGTGTCATGGTATTGATACTTTTGTTGCTTCACTTTACTTTAATTCAAGAAGTTGATGGTTAAAATCCAAGCCTAGCTCTCCAAATTTGGCAAGGCATGTGCCACTTTTACCCTGCTGTTAAGGGGTACCTGATATGATTATGCAATAAACCAGGGCAATACTAATAATGGAGTGCATAAAGCATTACCATGTGACAAACATGAGAGCTATATAGGTAGCCACGTAGTATCATTTTGAGGTGTTTAAACTGTAGATAATCTGCTAAACTGACCAATCGATCTGGAAATACCCAATTATGGAGAAAATAAGAATTTTTATTAACTGCATGCTTTAAAAAAAATGCTGCTTGAATGATATACATCACCTATTATATTTTTTTTTAAATTGTATAACTATCAATGTATCAAGGCCTTTGAAAATTGGGAAATCAAGATCAAAATCAACTCAACAATTTCAATTTAGATATTTTCAGAGAGAGAGAGAGAGAGAGAGAGGGAGACTTATGACCAACAAAAATGAAAAAATATAAAAACAATAGCACAATCCAAGTTAAAATTATATGAGTCTTGCCACGAACCATGGCTACAGCACTATTCAAAGCAGAACAAGTTTGCACTACACATCAGATAGTATTGTAATACTACCATTAGTACATGAAAACATATAATCAACAGGGAATGGTCTATATATTTCTAGAAGAAAAAGAAAGGTTTCAACTCCCTAAAACTTCCCCATATCTTCCCAAAGAACCTCCTTCATAAATCATATCAATCAACAGTAATATTCTATAAGATGGTAGCAAGAAAGGGAATTACAATAGAATTTTAACATGGATTGTAGGTAGAGTTATTATCTTGATGCAGGGCCCGGCTAGGACACAAGCTGATGTGAGGCAAGGTCTTAACTGCAGTGCCGTGATTGGAATGAAGCAAATATTACAGCAGACTGATCACACCTCTCCCAGATGGTGCCTGACTTTGTAGTTTGCTGCAATGATGAAGATCCTCCAAACAAAGATCATCCTTATGATGGTTCCAGGCATACATGGATTAGGATATTGCAGCTACCACAATCAAACTAGGCTCTTTCTCTTGGTGCCAGAAATGGAGCTGTCTGTGCTGCGTATACAGCCCCAGCATTAACCCAAGCTTCTTATGCTTGAGGAGTTACAACCACACATGAAATTGGGTCATCTGTAAAAGGCCATGTGCAATATCTTCTACCTCAACAGGCACCTCTCACATTTTGAAGACTTACAGTCATGTGTGAAAGACCATGTGCTACCTCAATGAACCAGCACCTCTCACTTGTGAAGACTTACTATATGTGAAAGGCCATGTGCTATATGCTAAGAGACTCCTCTTACATGTGAAGACTTAGCAAAGTCATATGTGAAAGGCCATGTGCTATACACGCCACCCGCACTTTCAACAGGCACCTTGCAAACGTGAAGACTTACAACCTCACCAAAAAATGCAGTCATATGTGAAAGGCCATGTGCTATGCGTACTGACCCCTTCCACCCTTGAGTCCTACTTTCGTGACCAGGTTTCCTAACACACCCCCTATTCCAGTGCTGGGTTCCATGGCGTATCTGGGACCAATCACTGACGAGTAGATCTTGTTAAACTCCATTCGGACCTGGTCTAGCCTCTGCTTCCTTATGCTCTCCTCAGGGATATGCTCAGGTCTGGAAAGGAGATAAATTCTAACCGTTTATTAAAGTGATCGTTTAACAATGTTAAATCTGAGATGCACAGCTCTACTTGTTATCAGCGTCTGTGATATGGTGTTATATTGAAGCCTTAAAAAAAATTGCGCTTCAAAAAGATACAGAAGTGCCTCAAAAAAGTAAAAACCTTTGAGTGACCAGTTTTACCATACTCTTTTTTTCCCAATAGACTGTAGTGTTATGAAAACCGTTTGACAAGCATAAAACTATCTTGATAATCAGACAGGCGATAGGCTTGACCTAAAGGTTTGTAATTATCATTGCAGCATGAGCTAAATCAAGGATTTTTTTTTAAGGATCTATGACAAAGTTACCGGAAACCCTTTACGAAGAAACTTACACAATGGATAGAAATTATTTTCCAGGGCATCAGAAAACAGAAGACTGCACACATCACTCATGACTGTTATCTTACATTAATCTGTGCCACAACACAACTGATATCTGTCAAGCCAAGAAGGGAGGGGGGGGGGGTACACGGAACCAGGAATCGATTTCAGATGGCCTAATGTAAACATCAAACATAATAGGCCAGAGTATGCTTACATTGGTGGGTTGCTGTTAGCTGAGCTAGCTGATCCACTAGAGATGTCTGAATTAATAGTGAGGGGCGAGTCTCGAGCTGAGAAGTAACCCTTTACACTCCCCGTGCCTGATATTATCTGCCAACTGAAAAATCACAAAGGGGAATATTAAAAAAATTGCAATTAGTTTATTAGCTTTTACTTAAAAGCTGCCGTCATGTGAAACAGAATCTATCTTAGAGTGAAAAATAAAGTGTTATTTCTTCAGTACCCCTTTACACTACCTGTGCCTAATATAATCTGTGAACCGAAACAACACAAAGGCGAATTAATTACTTTCTTATTTAGTGCGTTAGCTTTTTCCTAAATGCTTCCTCCACGCCAAACAATAATTCGCCTTCACACTACTTGTGCCTGATAAAAACATTCACACAGAAGGATTAGCTCTGTAAAGTCACAAAATTAAATACAACTTTTTTCTCCCCAATCCTGCCGACTACTGTACCTCAAATAATAATTGTACATGTATCATAGTCAAAATAAGTTCCAGTCATTATGCAATTTTGCTGCTCTAGAAATGGTATGAAGGGAGCAATTGAATACAAATTAATCAAATCACCTGAAATTGACATAATATTTTCACAATTTTGTATATAAGAGCAAAAAATAAGTTGTTATCAAACAAACAAAGAATATTCCATTCATTGAAAAAATGAAATTGATGCATTTTGTTTGAATTTCCATCAATTCACTTGGGCCACTGCCTCAGAACAGTATTTGTAAAAACTGATCTTCATGAAAATGCTACATATTATGTTTCTGTAGTCTTTGATGTAAAATAGGCCATCCATAATATTACATACCTTCCACATGCTGATGATGTTGACTTTGCCTGATGAGGAAAATGAAGAAGAAACAAAAATAGGGTCATAAAAGTAATGCATACAAGTTCAATAAGTTTTTGTTTTTGTTTGGTTTGTTTATAATTATTGTACTATTATTTATCAATGAAAATATTTTACTCTACATATTTACACATACGAAGATAAAATCACTAAATAAATAAAACGGGAAAGAAAAATTAATTTATCTTACACTGGCATGTAATTATCATAACATTCATTAATACTTTTCACGCTTCTATTACCCATAGAGAAGCCTGTAATAAAGCAGTCTGTAATAGGCAGACTTCCTCCTATCTTTAAACTTTTAAATAATAATACTATTGACTGGCTGATTTTTGGGGGTGATAAAAGATTGTATTTCCCAATTTCATATCCTCCTCAAAGCCAGTAAACATTATATACATATTCAAAGTGTCAATCATGAGTGACCCCTCACCAAATCAGCTGATGACCTTCGACATGACCTGGGTACTGCTACAGGACTGGTTGCTGATTGGATGATAGTTTGCTTCGTGCTCTCAGGTCGGTGGAGTGCTGATTTTGGTCTACTGAAAAAAGAGACATGATTAATTCTGCCATCTGTTTTTATCAACAAGGAAACAAAACTAAAAGTAAACAGGATGTGTAGTCAACTTGTCAATGATTCGGCTAAGGCAGAAGTCCATGCAATGATCAAATGATCTAACTATGTAAGCTTTATCACTCTATTAAACCAACTATTAACTACTACAATATAATGATGCCAATAACTCTTTGTAAACAGCACCATTTACAGTTACATCATATCTAACCAAAGGAATCACAGTTTTAATACCCTGGTCACTGGATTCAATTACATTTTTGCACTTTTCAGTACATGCACACTCTCTACTCTTCTGTGGAACATGTAGAACTATTTTAGACAATCAAATGGATAAACATGAAAGTGGACCATCCATTTTTTTAATGTAATGAAGACAGGGCTCGGTAAACAAAAATGCTGAAACATCAGAAGATGTAAATAACAACAAATGACACAATCATTTAGTAATCAAAAGGATATTTTAGAAGAAGTTTATAACAACAACAACAACAAAATTTAAAGACAAAAAGAGATAAACTTTAAGGGACAAAAGGAGTAAAATTGATAAAGAAAGAGAAATAGAAGAAGAAATAGACTTAAAGAGAGCAAGAAGAGGAACAAAGCTATACACCACAACATTATCAAGATAGTCAGGATGATGAAAGACCAATGGAGCACAAATGAATCTTACACATTATATTTGGGAGCACCATTTGATGTTTGATGAACATCTCCATTCCTTGTTTCTTCTTTACAGCTAGAGTCTTGAACAGATGTTAAGATAGGAGAGCTTGTGCTACTGATGCTGGTAATACTGATGTTACTGCCCAGACTGGAGTTACTACCTAGTTTGTATTTCCTGCTTTCTTCCAGATCTGTAGGGAAAGGGAAATAATTGCAAATTTTTTGATACAGAGGAATTTCCATTTCTAAAATGCATAGGCTGTAGAGTGTACATAATGATATGCATTGGAAATCTAACAGTTTGCATTTCCAAAGAGTTTTTAACAATCCTTCCCATTATGTTGTTCTTAGTTGATTTATAATTGGCATTAGCTGAAATTGATAATTTATGATTTAGGAATATCAAGCAAAATCCATCTTGAACTGTCAAAAACTTAATTTCAATTGCTATGATCGTAAAATGTGTTATTATTCATATTTTTGTTAGATTGTACATAAATTGAACACAGTATTTGTAAGATAAAAAAGACAACAATTTCTCCCTAAATAATCGTTTTCAGTATTTGACTACCGGTATTCTACTTAAGATTTTTTTAAATACTCCAATTAAACACAAAATAATATCAGTGGACTTACCTACTTTTATGTTTTCTTTAATACTGTGTTTTCTTTGTTTTCTTGCTATAACAATTAATTGTAATTTCATTGAAGCAAGTTATACAGAATGTCATAAATGAAACAAAGTATGAGCTGGGAGGATGAATAATAAACAAACCTAATAAGACCATCGGTTCAAGACAGGATTCTGAGTCTGCTCTACTCGATGCTCTGTGTCGTCTGCTGTAGTATAAGAGATTCAATTATCATATTTAATTGGTATATTATTCTAAGAATATTATTACAAATATATATGTAATTTTAATCATAGGTCAGAGGTTATTGTATGAAATATTTTGTCAATTCTGTTATAAAAATGAGAGCATGTTGTTTCAAAGTAACTTCATGATTCACATCAATGAAACTATTAAACAGTGTATAATACTCCACTCAATACATTAATCTATTTATTCATCAATTTTTCTTTTAAACAAAATTATTCCATACAACTTTAAAAGAGTCCAAGTATATGGCAAGTATAATGAAAGATAACAATTGGAATAACAAGACACTTTGACAGTTTGAAGTCAATAACTTCTTATGATAATAAAAAAGATGGACTGAACTAACGATATTAATCAAGGTAGTTGGATTAAAAAACTGCATCCACCTTCCACACGTATATGTATTAACCCTTGAAATACTATGCCTAAGATAATAAGATAACGCAAGTTGGAGTCTACAGAAAATCTTTCTTATACCAACATTAAATTGTATCCAATGAGTTAACTGACCTTCTTTGGAGTAATGAGAAGTCATCGGATGTGATGTGCTTCAGGAAGTTGAAACAGAAGAAGAAAACCTGGGAGGCAATTACAAATAAATCAATCGGAATGAACATGCCAAGCAAGTATCAATAGTGGTAGTTCTTTTTTTACCTCACCCCTAAGGCCCTAATACATGTTATCTTTGGTATTCAATTATATGCAAGATATTGCTGTGCAAAGCAATTTTTCAGAGGTTTATAGAATCCTGGTCAAACTATATTCTGAGGTATGATCGTTTAGTAAACTTCACATTTAATGCAATTCACTTTATTTCAAACACACAATAAAAGGACTGTAAACAATCGTACAACATTCATGTATTTGTTCACTACATCAATAAAACACAAAATTAGGTTAGCATGCATTTGTGAATAGATCCAACTCGAATCACTGCCATAAAAGATGCACTTTGAATCAAATCATTCATGACAGAAAATGAGTACTTACATCTTCTCCTTTCCCTAATCTGTCACATAGATTGTGCCTGCACAAAAGATATTGACAGAATGAGATTTAGTGTTCATGACCCTAGACAAATTACTATTTTGAGATAATCATCATGTTTATGACAACAACACCTGTTGAAAATGCTTGAAACATATATTGAAAACTTTCCAGGGATTAAAAGAATACTCTCATTAAAAAATAAGTTGATAATGACAGCTGATTCAAAATTGTTTTAAAAAGCTAGAACTCTTGTAACAATAATAACACTAGTAGATATTCTTTTGATGTCCTGCCTTTTTATTTCCTGGTACAATTAACTGATCGAGGTGATTTTCCATGTAATATTAACCAAATCATGGAATTCAATAACACTTCCGCACTTGCAGTAAACACCCTTCTCTACATTCTACAGCAAATGGAATTCCCCAAACAAAAGATCACTGATAATAAGGGGCAGAGTCCAATGTCATTAGTATAATGGTGATTGCATATGTTTAAATCTTCAGAAATGTCAACAGTACTTACCCATATAAGAGCCAGTCATATGCAATTGTGAGATAGAGTATTTCAGCTGCACTAAGGTTTGCATGGGCTTTGCAGTCCTGTGGGAAATGAGGAAGAAGGGCAAAGTAAGATACAGTGTGCGCAAAGAAAAAATATACATGAATGACATGTCCATTTTGTAATAACAACTACCCGGTAGGCATTTAAAAGGTCGATTTCTGGGAAAAGATGAAAAATAATTTGTGAGCGCTATCATTGTTGTTATGCAAGTGTGGAAGAACATCACATAAAAAATGTTCCCTAAAAAGTATGTCTCTTCAAATGCCTTAATATTCTAAATATGGCATGTAAAAGCTTACAAATCGGGACAGATTTTTATGCCACATGTTCGTGTAATCCCTTATACATATTTCTATGTACAGTGCTTGTAACTACCAAGACTGGGCCAAATTTCTTATCATTTCGATGATTCTAGAACCTTGCAGTACACACCCAATACTTAAACGCTAGATGATCAACCTTTTCTGATCGATTCCACAATGTTTCTTTCACAATGCAATCGCATGACTAGAACTCAACTTTATCTTTATACTACAATATTTCTCAATTTTTATTGTACAAGAAACCAGGAAACGTATGACATGACAGACATGAAATTGCCAAGCAATTACTATGAACATTGATGAGCAGTGTTTTTATTTCTACTTTTAAGTGAATTTACCAAACAACATTCAATTCATTGCATAGACACATATCATCATTACATTTTTTAGAGACTGATCTAACCAAGAAATTTAATCAAATGAAGCACACAAGATTGAAGAGATTGCTTTATCAGGCTGCAGGTAATGTTTGAATATGCTTGCTGAGCAGTGCCATATTGGCTGGTTCATCAGTAATGTTCATGCATCATCACAATGGAGAAGGAGTGTAGTTTGAATGGATTGCAAGGTTTACGCAAGATGTCATTGCCCAGTAGATTTTGAAAGCACCATTTGGCAGCCATATAAGGCCATTCCTTTTATACATATATTATACGTACAATGTAGGTGATAACTTACCGCCCAAAGAGAAAGCCTGAGAAGAGAGATGAAAAGAGGTGTGCGGTCCCAGCCTGATATACAATGTACTAACACACCAGAATCTCCTGCACAATAAACAACATGATACTTTCTTTACACTCATTTTCAACAGCTTGGATAAAAGGAAAAACAAAAACTATTTTCAAGCAGATCTTTAGTGGTCATGGAATCGGTAGAGATGAACATCATTCATATTTCATAGAAAAAAAGAACAAGCACTATCATTTAAATCAACACTAAAGTCGTTCCAAGAAGCAGAAAAGGGGAAAAATAACATTTAATTCATATTATTTGACAATGTGTAAGTGGACAAAGTTCAAAACTTAATATCTCCCACTGTGGAAGGAATAACAGAGATAAACTTCAAGAGAATTCACTACAATTAGCAAATAAGGACTGTAGTCTTTGGTCTACTGTAGAAGTTATGTATTCTGTTGAGCATACAGCAAGGATTAAGCAGGGCAATATAACCTTCTGTATAAACATCAAAATGTTACTTAGTAAAACCTGTCCATAAAGACTACCCAAGGGAGACAAGTAAGGTGGTTGTTATAGGCAGGTGGTCTCTGAAGACAGGTGCCTATAGTACATGTTTCAATGAGAAACCATTTTCAAGGGGGGGGGGGATGTGGTCTTTGTAGACAGGTGGTCACTAAAGCAGGTTTGACTGTATTGTAATATAACATGGATGTTTCCTAGCAAAGTTAGAGGTTTTACTCACCATCTTTGATAAGGAAGAGCAGGAGCTTCAGGTAGTTCTGTGTGATCTTCACCAGATCCCATTGCTGTGACAACAAATTAAAATTAAAATTAAATAACAAAATCAAGGATATTATGATTGCAAAAGGACATTGAAATCATCACTGATACAGAATTGGGGACTGATCATTCCTACTTACTTGCCTGCCACTGTTTGATTGAGGTCAATATCATTAAAATCATACTTTTAATAAACACACGACTGTCGTGAAACAAAATTGAAGTCAACAATCAAATTCAAATATTGATAGTCTTACATAAGGTTGGGTAGTCCTATGGAAATATTCAAGCAGTCATTTCTTCCGATGAGAATGAAAGGTGTTAATTGTTTCACAGTGCCAAATCAAAGTTGGTTGATACCACAAAGTAATTATACCTAAAACTAAAGGCAAACAATAACATCAACAACAACAACAACAGCACATATGTGATGTTAATGCTAGGGTAAAGTCCATGCATATTGAAAGAATATCTTACCCTGTACATATGCCAGTCAATGCCTGTGGAGGTGGCTACTCTGTCTGGTATACTCAGATCAGCATCAACAAAGTCCTGTAAAAATGTAAAAGTACATCAATAAGACGTATCTCACTGGGTATTAATTCTTTTCATATAGCAAGGCTTCACACTAGCTCCTTTTCATAGGGGTCTGGACTGAAATGATTAGGGTCTGTATGCATAAGTCCTATGTTAAAATTCTGACATTTTGGGGATCGGTAATGAGATTATGGGTGCCAATGTGTCCCCCCCCCCCCCCACCTGTTAGTGTCAAACCATGCGTATAGTCCATATGGCTATGCTTCTGGTTACTATGACATGACTATATGGCCTACTTCATGAATACTGCAATTAGGAACGATCTCACCAACACAATTTAAAAACAAAAAATCTTTGGCCGACTTGGGCATTCATGGTTTATAAAATGTTAGGAAAAGCAGATTCAAAAGTATTAATCAAATGTTATCACTTCCTTGAATTTTTACTTTATGACATTTGTTCAAAAATGTGGTGGTTGAGAAGGGATTTACATAAAGTATTTAGCTTACCTGTGACCAGTCAAAGAAGAGATTAATACCATTGAAGCCATTGTCCCTGAAATCTTTGAAGAATTCACAGCCGGGGTACGGTAATGAAAGCAAGCAGAAATCAGCATACCTATGCTCCTTGTCCACTTTCTCTGATGATGTTACACTGTCAAATAATATTATGAAAACCATTTCTCATTTACATTTCATGACCATTCTTTTTTCACTTATTTTGATGTGTAATTTCAGTTGACAGAGGGCCTTCCACAAATCAGTGGATTAAGTTGAGACAGGTTCTAGGCCACTTTACACATTATGGGCTAAAATGTCTGACATTTGAGGAAATCTCACTGTCAAAACCACAGATACATCAGCCTCAGAGTATTGCGGTGGCTGTTTTCAGACAAATCAAATATCATACTAAAAACCGTGTCTCTACGGGTTAGATAAAACATAAATACCGGTAGTTGGTCCTACAATGAAACAAATCAGAGAAATAACTGAGACTGAGTCTATCTGGCTAGCCCAATTTATTTGGAATATGTGTCGTCCCTTAATATACTGGAAACGAATTGATGTTTCACCACATTTTTCATTTAAAAAACGTTTCTTTCATCTTATCTAAATTTTTAGATTTTTATTTAGAATGTCTCTTTCTCCCATTTTCATTATGGCATGTTAAAACTTTTATAAACCTGTTGATTGCTCTGTTCTTTCCCAATAGTAAATGTCTATGTCTCATGATTGGCAGGTGCTAACTCGTAAATTTCTCTTTCGCAGAATAACACCTCTGCTAACAATACCCTTCCTGTGGGTCGACTGTTATGCAATCTCTTGCACGTGTCAGGTCGCTCTAGAGACAATTCCTCTGCCACCAATTCCCCACTTCAACCCAACTGACCTCTTTTCACAATATGTGATCAACTTGACTTCTACTCTAAAGGAGATGCAAGGGGACTACAATGCATGCTCCAGCAAAAATTGCTACATTCAATATCCTACACTAATCAAATATCAACCATGAACAAAAAACTATACCCAACCCTACACCTAAACCTAACCTAAATCCAAGTTGCCATCCTGACTCTAACCCTATATATCTTTCATGAAGTGATACTTGCGAGAAAATTTCACCTCAGCAAATTTCTAAGAACCACGTGCAACCCTAACCCTAACCATATATCTTAGATGAAATAAAGCCTGGAGCAATCATCCCTTGGATCACCATCAGGTCACTTACTTGACCCCAAACTTGACTTTCTTGTTCTCTAGCATAAGGTCACACACAGCGGTCACTTGGAGCATCTTCAACAGCTTGATATCTTGACCTCTGTAGCGGTCAAACAATGGCCAATCGTTGCTACTGCAGAGTAAATAACAAGTAAATATTGATTGACAAAGTATAATTGTGGGGTATATATTCTGGATCAGTAGATTTAAGGATTTTAATATGTTGAGGATAAGGGGATATTCTATACTTGTTTCAATTAAATTTATTTTCTGGATCCATGTATTTAGTAGACTAATTGATGCATAGATATGTATAAACGAGTATCTTCCTTATCTAGTCATGTTATCCAAAATGCAACCAAGACTTTGACTGGTATTAGGGATCAAAGAAATCCAGTATAACTCTCAATGTCACGGAAGCAAAGATAAATGCTTTTCCTTTTAACCTGAATAAATTTACATATTCAATGTTAACATGCCAAAGGGGAATGAAAGAGCAACACATTTTGAGGTGATTTGATCAATTTAGACAATTTTGCAAAACCCACTTCCTCCAAACACATCAAATCAGACTAAACACATCTTCAAAGATAGTGTATAAGGTATTAGCAATTGATTAACATTTGTCAGTGCAAAAATAAGCATGAAACACTTACCTTGTAGATGGGCTCCTACTTAGACTGGTCATAGTTTCTTCATCATCTAGTTCTGCACTTTCACCTCCTGTCAAGGAAAAAGAAATGAGTTTGATTGAACCACTCTACAGGATGGACATTTGGCAATAGACTAGTACAGTGATGAAAATATCAAAATTAGTTTATAAAAAAGATATACCAGGGTATATATGTATACAGTCAACCCTGCTTTAGTGACCACCTGTCTACAAAGACAACATTCTTTGTTTCCCTTGAAAATGTACTAAAGGAACCTGTCTACAAAAACCACCTGTCTTCAAAGACCACTTTTTGTGTTTCCCATGGGCGGTCGCTATAGACAGGTTTGACTATTACATCCATACTCATCTTACATGTTAATTCTAAATTCACTGAACATATTGCAATCAAGAGACAACACAGGAAAAGCTAATTGACATTTATTTTTATTTGAAATTTTTTCAATATTATTATCTATCAAAATAAAATAATGTATTGAATGCATGAATCTTAGATTGCTAGTGATCTCGTTTACATACAATAAAAATCTACAAACACCTTCCATTTTGCTCTACATAGCTATAAAAAAGCACAAAACAGAGACGCCCAGATAATTCAAATTCTGACCGTGAATGCTCTATACAATGTCATTACAGTTAGAAAGGTATACCTGAGAAGAGGTAGTTGAAGCCAGAACGTCCATATATCTCAGGACCTCCCGAGAGGGTAGCTGATCTGCAAATGTGCTACAAATGCAAAGAAAATAGATTGATTTATATGTAACAAACATTTAACAAAATGAGCATCTACATCAAAGATAATCAAGAATGTTCTAACTCTCAAGCTAAAATGTGTCATTGCTATTCATTTAAAGACAAATCTTCCAATAACTTTGATGTTATAAAAAGATTCTATGGTTCTCTACTTCCAATGAGAAAAGAAGAAAAGAAGAAGAAAACGAAAACATGTACTGGTACACTGCATAATATATAACTGTACAATTGAAATTTGAACAACTATCATTATTTATAATAAGACCTTAAGTTTCACTTTTGAAAGTCTTTACTATGATCACACAAGCATATCAAAGCCTATTAAAGGATTTAATTAAATAATTAAATGATCTTCAATACATAATCACAGTTTCACTTTCACCCTTCCCAGTACATCAAGTTAAAGGTATTACAAAGTTTTGGGAAATTTTGAAAATTGGGTGGATAGTGATTCTTTAAAATTTTGATATATTTGGATGCCCCTGTGGATGTATTATAAGCACTAAAAGATTTAGCCCCTAAAACACTTCTGCTTTCGAGAAAAATTGAATATACAAATTTACCGGTGCTCCCGGTAAATTTCAAAACATTTCAAATAGCGCCTACGGCTGTACAATGGTAGCTGCGATCATAAAAATGTCAGAACATGTAGCTATGATATATAATTTCCAAACGGGAATAGCTAGTCGATCGATTTTAGTCAAGAAAAATTGTTTTATAGCTTAATTAAAATCTTGACCTTGAGAGGGAGTTATACAACATAAAGAGTTTATTATTTACAATTTCATAACTTTAGACTGATTTCAACCGCGACAACGACCACTGAATATTGTAGGATCGCATGTGCTTTCAATATGTTCATTTGAACCAAATTCATGACCCCGTACCAAAACTTTATATTACCTTTAAGAGATTGCAAAAGGTATTGATATCATAAAATGACTGACATCAAGGATCAATTTCTTGAGAATTTGTTTTCTACTACAGCTCTTTGAACAACTCATAAATAATTATGGCAAGAAATCAAGAGACAATTTGTGAAAAATACATGTTACTGGGAGTAGCGAGTGATTTAGCTTGAGAGTGTTTTGAAGAGAGCTGTGTAAAAAGGAGCTCTTAAAGTGAGCTCTAGCAAAGACATATAAAATACATAGGAACTGTCGCAAGGAAATCTCACATCTAGGGCAAATCCAAAGAGAATTCCAGTGAAAGGGGAAGTCTACCCTCATGTTTAAGTTGCAACTTGATATCAAGGTGGACTTCTCCTTGAACTAAAAAGTATTTATTTTACACTGTTGCCATTATGAAAGAACTTACCTTGCCATCACAGAGGATAACTGGCATGACAAATCTCTCCCTACACCTAGCAAATCTTGAGCGGCACATTATCTCTCTCAGCTTGGTCACATCATACATGCTCTCCACATGGTCTCTGAAATAGAGAAATTGTTAGAAGGGTATGTCAATTCAACAAGGAATCTCTCTCTCTCTCTGATAACCTTTTAGACTTTGAGCCAAATATTGTAAAACTTTGAGCCAAATTGAACTAACAACCTTTATTGTATTGTTAAAGCAGCTCCAAAGAAAAAATGTATTTTCTTGTAAAATCTATGAGGTTCATGAACTGGAATATTTTTCAGAGAAAAGTGCTGCCTATCTCTTGATCACTAGTCCTAATAATCACAATATAACAAGAAATGTTAGTGTGGGAGATGCTTTCAGAATGGAATAATGATAGACCCATTTACATTTCTTGCCCCTATACATAGGAGCAGGACTAGTGGCTTTAAAGCTTGTATACCAATTACTAAAATATATTTTGTTATGTATGTTAGAGATTCCATTTGGCTATACTATATCAAAAATATGAGCTTTGAATATTACTTTTATAAAGAGAAACTGCATGTATAAATTAGCACTTTAAATACACGCTCAATTAACATAAAGTTACTTATGAGCAGACTTCTCGATGCTCGCTTGGAATCAGGGCCTGCAGGGAACCCAAGTCGGACCTTGGGACCTTGGTTCTTTTATGTTATTACATGGAATGATATAGAAGGTGCACTGATAATGTGTTATTCTTTATTTTCTCTATATGCCTTATCTGCTGGGTTGTATGACACAATGTAAAGTATTTTGGAGTTGATTTCTTTACATTCTAGCCACACACAAAACAATTTAAGAAAATCGGTACACTTGAAGGATTTACCTTTCTCCTACTTGTCCATCAGCTCCTAACATGTACTCCAGTATAACCAACTTGCCTGGGTAGTGACCACAAAGCTCCCCATTCGAATTCAGGATTACCTTTTCAATCAAACAAAAACAAAAAACAAGTGTCAGGTCACAGCATTTTCTTTAAACCCCATTTTCCAAGTTTAATTAATGAAGAAAATCTAAAATATTATTTTATTATATATTTTTTTAAACTCACTTCAGTTAATTTCTTGGTTTCAAAACTTTGTGTTTTTGATGCTATTGCCGTGTGAAATATCTCACAGGAGTGAAAACTTATTGTGATAAAACTTTTTTTCTTCTATTCAATAGCTTCATATCTTAATATTAAGAACAATAATCTGTAAGAGGGATGTACTCCAATTGAAGAAGAAGAAGAAGGGTGTTAAAAAGAGACATACCATGTTTACCCTACTACCCTAAGGGAATATGATATCAAGTAGCATTCAGGAGCAATGTGGGGAAGTGGGGGTGTCATGTGGGAAGAGATTTGGGGAATTGGATACCCCCTTTCTCATGCCTGACAACATTTTAACCCTTTCTTTTTGTATCGATTTGCCAGTCATACTTTTTGGAATACTTGAACCCTCCCTTGTCACCATTGGTACCGGCATTGTTCATCATCCATCTACCTACCACCCCCAACAAGTCCTTCACTAGTATTAAAGGAATCTGGATCACAGTATAAAACAAGGCAAGGCAACTTACTGAGTATTTGTAGTCCTTTGCAAACAAAGCAAGACATTTCCTCTCAAATCCTTCAACCTGCATTACAAAGAACATGGAAAAGAAGCATTATGATTCATGAAGCAAGAAGATTATTTCATATATATAGTCTAGAGGTTCTAATAAGAAAAAAATGACAAGCTATAAAGACATCATATTTACATTTATCATGATATACAGAACAAAAATATTATGCATTTCTGTGTTTCTCCAAAGTGCCTTCTCCCTTGAGGATGTCCAGATAACGAGTCATGGTTTCATACATGTTCATTGTGTAAAATAGACATTTTATCACTTTAAGGTTTTTTTAATAAATGGGAAAACTCTCTGGCACTTTGTGACAGTGTCACTTCCAATTCAGCTAATTTGAAGTACGAATAGTGATTACAACTTCCAAAATTCATAACTTTACATTTCTTGGTCCGACTTTGTTCAAACTTAGATTCACCAATCTGCTTTTAATAGTTAGTTCTAGACTCTAATACTAAGAATAGTATTAGAAGGTCTAGTAAGATTGGAAACTTACTTTACTACTGCCTTCACGAGCTCTGTATTGAGTCTTGGAGAAGTGATCTAACAGTTGACGTGTGTCATTCTCATTTATAACTGATGTTCCTTGACTATCCCCCATCTTTGGATAACGTTCCTGATGCCGAAACGGGCCAGCTCCAGATCAGAAGAAAGTGCCCCTCTCTGTCTCTCTGTTTCTGTGTCTCACTGAATCGGTCACAACTTTTTTAACAGACCCCTAGTTTAGATGATTACAATTATATCACAGAAAGTACTGAATTTGTCCTGGGTTCATGCTCGTCCTTCATCATTCATTCATGTCTTTCTTTACAAAATCAAACCAATCTGCCGATTTACCACACTCCACGATCCACTGCACTGCACTGCGTGTTAGTGACGGGAAAGATCCGAGTGGCAGGAACGTGACTCTGTCTCTGTCTGTGCATCTGCTTCGCTTGTTTCCTGGTAAACCACTTTAATTAAAAGATGTCCGGATACAGTACAGCCATAGAAGTTCGTGTTCTCAAAATAACGTGACGTAACTCTCATCTCTCCATGAAGTTGCAGTAAATCTAGACTCTACCAAAAGTAGTCGCATCATATCTTTAGACTTAAGCCATATTAAGGTCATGCGACATCAACACACCAACTCACGTAGTAGTATAGTAGTTTACCCCGTAGTTTTCACACTGAGTGCCATTGACGTGAGGGAGCGAAGATCAATGAATGTAATGCAATGGTGGACTAGACTCGATCGACTGTCCAGATTTTTTTTACCAGTACGAGATAGACACGCGAACGCTTTTACATAGTCTACTTTGCAGACTGGGTATGTGCGACAAACTATTTGCACACTAACCTCTCTCCTCCTCAGACTCTCACTTTCTCTCGACATTTCACTGTTAATCTTCCTCTCTATCATTCCCCCTTTTTTCCCCTTGTTGTTAAAAGAAAGCGAGAAGAACCATATGACTATGGACAAGTCTCACTATATATGACTCATATTTTGGGGGCTTAATTGCAGCAATAAGGTACTGATTTGGTTTGGATGGGGGTGTGCCGCTGAAGCCTAGAAACCCCTACCCATTTAGGGTCTCATTTTTGTGGATTTTTTCACAAAGTAAAGCCCAATTTTCGCAATTTTTTCTAGTTTTTGCCAAGCAAAAACCCGAACTTTTTTTGAAAATTTTGAAAAACAAATTCATGTTTATGGATATTTATTGTTAAAAATGGAACCCATATTGTTTAGGTTGTAAAAAAAAACAACCAATTAGAGCGGCACACCCCCGTATGTGTGAGTACCAGGCTCGGATCCAGGGGGCCGAGCAAGCCTTGCCCCCCCCCCCCCCCCCACCCCCGCAAAAAAAAAAAGAGAGAGAGAGAGAAGGAAAATAAGGCCGGAAAGGGAACTTAGAGGAGATGAGGAAGGGAAAGAAAGAAGAGGAAAAAAGGAGATCGGGGGGGGGGGGGAAAGGTCCTTACCTCCCAGGCTGTTGCCTCCCCCCCCCCCCCCCCCATCAACACAAATAGGAGAGAAGGAAGGAAAGGGAAGAAAAAAAGGAAAAGAGGAGATAAATGGAATGAAAAAAGAGGAAGAAGATTTTAAAAAAGGGGGTATCAGTTGCAATTTTAATCAGGGACAAAAAGACAGTCCTTGCCTCTCCTTCCCCCCTCCCCGCCCCCGCCAAAAAAAATGAGACAAGAAAGCAAAAGCGAAGGATGAGAAGAAAAGAAAAGGTGAAAAGAAGGGGGAAATCAGTTGCGATTAATCCCGCCAAAAATGCGTGGATCGGGGGGGGGGGGGGGGGGGGGGGGGGGGGGGAGGGGGGGGGGGAAGAGAGAAAGAAAAGAAGAATAGTGACCTGCCAGTGTAAAAATAACGAGGTATCAAAATATGCTCATTTGACCGTGATTAAATGCCTAAAACCCCTATGCTTCTTGGGGCTCCGCCCCCTGGACCCACGCCAATTAGTGTCCTGCCAGTGTAAAAAATAAGGTATATTAAATGCTCATCTGACCCTAATTAAATGCATAAAACCACTAAGCTTTCGGGGTTCTGCCCGGCTTCGACCCCACTAGGGGGTCTAAGGCGGGCCCCTATATGCATATCTGACCGTTATAAAATGCCCATACCCCACTTCCGGGGGATCCGCCCCTTGATCCCCGCCGGGGCTTTGTCCCTAGACCCCACGCCAATTTACGTTATATACGTTCTACCTGATCGTAAATACTTTAGCCTCCCCCATGGCTCCAGCCACTTTGAAAAACATTCAGCGGGGCCTGCATGTAAGAGTGGGGTGATGCAGATTTTTTGTCAAAAAAAATGTTTTTGCTCATTACGCCACTGCTGGTCACCATTACTTACCCATATTTGGCTCGCATGATTTCAAATTTGCCCCCCGCTAAGAAATCCAGGAGTCGCGCCTGCATGGTGGATGCCATATGGGGACGACTGCTGATCAAAGGGGTGATAAAAAAAAACTATAACTATCTCATATACATGATAGATAATACGACAGAAAAATTGTGCATACTGATTACTGTGGCCTGTTGGCCAAATTAACAACTGCCTACCAGGTACTCAGAGAATATTGCATCTTCTACTGATTAAATCAAAAGATTTCAATGAAATGATCAAGAATCAGTTTAATATAAACCGGAATATATACATTTACATATAAAAAGTACATGCACAATATAAATAAAACAGAAATCAAATATGAGAAGGGGCACAAGAGGGGGTAGGTATTCTCGTGCCCATGGATCTCTTTATTTTCTGTCGTTCGACTATAGTCAGAAAGAAGAATGGAAATGGAGATAAAACTTGCTCCATTAAAAAAATTAAAAAATTGTTTGAACTAAAAGTTTAATTTACGAGACTAATAAAACAACCATCCTAGGAATAAAATGTCAATGTCAACATTGCCATGGTCGTGCTTGGATCGTGGATGTGGTGCGAATTTTGCTTTTTGTTTGTTTTGTTATTTGATTATTATTCAATTTAGTAGCATATCATTTAGCTAAAACATATTTCTGTGATTAAATGAATTTAATAATATGGAGGTGTTAGTGTTTAAACCGTGTGTAGCCTTGTTTCTTCTTATTACGTTACTTCAAATAGATCACCAGTTTCATCTCACTACTGACATAAAATTAAGGACACGGGACTGGGCAATATTCTCTGTCTCTGGGCTTCTTCGATGAGTGGAATAATAAGACTAACATCATGGCCAAGGCCAAGCATATAGTGTGTGCCATGTCCGGAGGTGTGGATAGCAGTGTTGCAGCATGGATTTTGAAAAGCAAAGGTAAGTTTTATAAACAAATTTATCATTTATTTAAAAAGTTTCATGACCATTTTTTTCTCAAAATGAAATGGAGATTTTAAATTTTAAATCTATTAAAATAAATAAAAATTAAAAGCAAGTCAATTCCTAGTCATTATTCTTAGTGAGATTGTGATGATATCTGCTCTGGTATCTTTGATGTATGCTGCTAACAATGAGACTCCTCATCCCGTCTCCTCTCCTAGCTCCTCTCCTCTCTCCTCTCCTCTCTCCTCTCTCCTCTCTCCTCTCTCCTCTCTCCTCCTCTCCCCCTCTCCCCTCTCCCTTCTCCTCTCTCTCCTCTCTCTCCTCTCCTCTCCTCTCCTCTCCTCTCCTCTCCTCAATCTCCTCTCCCCTTGATCTCCTCTCCTCTCCTCTCGATCTCCTCTCCTCTGGATCTCCTCTCCTCTCCTCTCCTCTCCTCTCGATCTCCTCTTGATCTCCTCTCCCCTCCTCTCCTCTCCTCTCGTTCTTGTCTCCTCTCGTTCTCCTCTCCTCTCCCCTCTCCTCTCTCCTCTCTCCTCCTCTCCCCTCTCTCCTCTCCTCTCTCCACTCCTCTCCTCTCCTCTCCTCTCGATCTCATCTTGATCTCCTCTCCCCTCCTCTCCTCTCCTCTCGTTCTCCTTTCCTCTCGTTCTCCTCCCCCCTCTCCTCTCTCCTCCTCTCCCCTCTCCTCCTCTCCCCTCTCCTCTCTCCACTCTCCTCTCCTCTCCTCTCCTCTCCTCTCGATCTCCTCTCCTCTCCTCTTGACTCCACTCCTCTCCTCTCCTCTCCTCTCCTCTCCTCTCCTCTCCTCTCCTCTCGACTCTCCTCTCCTCTCCTCTCCTCTCCTCTCCTCTCCTCTCCTCTCGATCTCCTCTCGATCTCCTCTCCTCTCCTCACGATCTCCTCTCCTCTCCTCTCCTCTCCTCTCCTCTCTCCTCTCCTCTCGATCTCCTCTCCTCTCGATCTCTTCTCGATCTCCTCTCGATCTCCTCTCCTCTCCTCTCCACTCCTCTCCTCTCCACTCCACTCCTCGTCCACTTAATTATCTTCTGTTTATGTCTCTTGTTTTCCCAATCTCTCTCATATATTGCTTTGCCAAGGATTCAGAGTGACAGGCCTATTCATGCGTAACTGGGATGTGCTGGATGAGACTGGGGTGTGTACAGCGGACAGAGATTGCGAGGATGCCCAGAATGCATGTGAGATTCTTAAAATCCCCTTCCATCAAGTCAACTTTGTTCAGGAATACTGGCATGATGTGTTCAGGTAGGAAAGGTCAATGTCTTTAATATACACCTTAGAATCTCCAGTAAAAATTGATATCCAGAAAGCTTATGTGACAAGCAGGGCCACTGCAACAAAGGTATGCGATCAAGTATACAAACATATTGTTCAACAGGCTGACCATTAACCAATCACAATTGCGTTTTCAACTTTGCAATTGATCGCAAACCCTTTTTTTACGGCATCCAAATGTAAAAACATAGAGGCTGTTCACACCGCAATGAGATAGCGCGGTCTATCGTAGCACCCCCTTTTTTCTAGCCCGCGCTAGACCGCGCTATCTCTCGTGGACCACCCCCAAGAGGTGCTCCAGTGGCCCGCCGTTTTGGCTCGCTGTGGCTCGCTGTTGGGCGGACCGAAACGACGTTGTACCTTCCAAACCGCAGAGATAGCGCGGTCTAGCGCGCGCTATCTCTGCCGGTATGAACAGCCTCCTAGAAGTAATCCAGCTGAGTCTAAAAGTTAGTTGATTATATCATGATCGTCATAATCACATCAATGATCAGATATTTGTGAGTGTCAAGTCAGTACTTCTTGCTCAGATCATCAGAAACTTTTGGAGTGTGAATTTGATAAAAAAATAGTTTTAAGCTCAGAATTCAAACACTCTGTGATTGGTTTGAGATCACTACCAGTATTATTTTACTTTTATCTGCATTTTAAATAGTGAGAAAATAAGCCCTGTATATTTATGTAAATATCTACTGCATAATACAGTTCAGAATTTGATCAGGTCCGATTCTCTCAAGATGCCACTCCATTTACAGAACTCAAGATATGATTGGAATGACAACATTTCATTTTTTAGATCTGTAATTCATTTCTATGAATTTGTTTGCTATAATCTTAGCAATCCATTAGCAGATTAGTGGTCAGTTATTTCAAAATATTCATCTTCCTTTCTCCCAATGCAGCAAATTTCTTAGGCAATACCAACAAGGCTTCACACCGAATCCAGATATTTTGTGCAATAAATACATCAAGTTTGACAAATTCCTGGACCATGCAATGACAAAGTTTGATGCAGATGGATTAGCTACAGGACATTATGCTCAGACAAGTATAGGAGAACAGTTTCTTTATGACAAGGATTCTGCTTCTAAAGGTATACATGAGATTAACTGCTTCCTTGGTGTACTTACATCTGTTTATTCTACTGTCAAATCAGTTTAAAATCTTGAAAATAATGTGGTCAATCTTCAGATGTCTTGTCATATGAGCTCCATCATCATTTAGGCTTGACACAGAGATACCTTTTCTCTTGAATTTTGTCTAATATTGTTAAACTATTTTGGACAGAAAAGTAATTAAAAGTTATTGGCTTGATTGATTATACCAAGTTTTTACCATTATATGCTCAAATTCATGGATTGAATGAAAAAAAAATTAAAAATTGATCCATACTCGGCTTTTGTCATAGATGGAAAAATTGCTAATTTTATCTTTATTTTGTTTATAAATGTATGTTCATTCAGCAGCTTTAGTATTCTGAAGGTGTAAGAAGAAGGTGCCAAGAAAATGAATAATTTAAAACAAAATTTGAAAATAATTGACTGTAGGACACTAGGACTGATATGATATCCTATTACAACTATATAGAATATAATAGCATCTGTGTTTCCCTTCAGGAGTGAAACTTTTGAAAGCAGCTGATAGCTGGAAAGACCAGACATTCTTCCTCTCACAAATCACCCAGAATGCATTAGGGAAGACGCTCTTCCCAGTGGGTCATCTGACCAAGGACGTAGTGAAGCGTATCGCTCATGAGGTTGGACTAAAGAGGGCTGCACAAAGGAAAGAGGTAATCATTAAAACTTGAAATATCAAAAGAAAAAGGAAATTTATGTTTGTGTACTTGCACAATTATAAATTAATGGAGAAAATAATTTACGGAGTCAATCGTGTTCAAGATGGTCCCATGTAGGAACTTTCCATTTTCTCTCTAGAAATTTGATTCATGTAAATCTTTCGTAGATGGCTAGGGAAGATGAGAAATAGAATTTGTCTGTTGAGAGCCAGGAGGGAGGTCATGACATCACATCAGATCTTCTGGCTCTCAGCAATGGACTTTATACTTCTTACATTTGTACATAAATCATTGGCCTTTATTCATGTTTACATTCTGAAGCATCCAATACTTCAAAGAGGGCAACTAGATATTGTAGGTGAAGTTAAAGAGGAATTAATTGATATTCAACTGTAGAATGTTAGATTGCACTTTATATAGCTATTATATTTTAACTATATACTTATGTTCTTTCATTACAGAGTATGGGAATATGTTTTATCGGAAGAAGACATTTTCCAACTTTTATCAAGGAGGTAGGTATTTCACTTTAAATTTATTCATTTACCAATAAGAGGTATATTAAGTCCCTTTAGTATTAGACCCCGTTCTCACTCACTTCGTTGGAGCGCTCTGGAGCGCTCTAACTAAGACCCGCTCCTCAGGAGCGGTTCTTAGGTGAGTGAGAACGCTCAAAGTGGTCCAGGAAGCGGACTTCTGGACCGCTCCAGAAGTCCACCTTCCGAGGTGGTCTTGAGGAGCGGGTCTTATTAAGAGCGCTCCAGAGCGCTCTAACGTGCAATGTGAACGGAAAGCGTACTTTGAACGGAAGTCACGTTCCGCGCAATAAGCGATCGGGCAGGCACTACACATATACATGTATACGGGGCGCGTCGCGAACGGGACATCAGGTGACATAGGGTTTGGATTCCGCGCGCGAAAAAATTGACCCGCCTACCTGAGCTGCCATAGCAACAAAACCACTTTGACTCGTGGAGCGGTTTGAGGCATAAAAACTGCTCGGAGTGTGAACACTCGCAAACCGTTCCTCAAGACCCGTTCCTCTGGAGCGGTCTGGAGCGGTCTAACTAAGACCACTTTCAAAGTGAGTGAGAACGGGGTCTAAAATCAAACAATCAAAGATGTTAACATCGAGCACCGTGTTGAAATAAATTCTTAATTGCTTATAATACAGGTCAGATGATTGGACCAGCAACATTTTCAATTTACCAAGACTTTTTAGAATACACAGTCATTAAAAGTAGTGTTTGACACTCTTTTATGATCATTAGCTTGGTATTTATTTTTGTCTAAACCTAATATATTTGTAGTTGTAAAAATTAAATGCAATTTTATTTCTGTATTATCCCTCATTACCAATACTTAATATTACCTGTAAGCAGTCTACATTCAAACCACTTCATATGCTTTGTGTGTACTGGTATGTACGTAGCATTGTTTAAAAATAACAGAAATGAGCAAAGTTCTTATGTTTTGTTCACCAATTATTGTTATCTGTTTCCATTATTGACAGTATCTTGAGCCCAAACAAGGATCTTTCATTTCTGTAGAGGATAATAAAACAGTAGGTGAACATCAAGGTAAATCAACATTCTCTATCTCTCAACAACTTTGTGAATAATTAAAGGTTTGTTTCTCTTAAGTAAAGATAAATGTTGGAGAGTTATTGTCTGTGGATATCCCTTTCATTTGAATTTAAATGTATGAATAATTGAATACATTTATGACATGCATCTCATGAGAGAGAGAGAGAGAGAGAGAGAGAGAGAGGATTTTGCAGACATTGAGTTTAATTCCCATTGGGAATTCCTTCTTCATGGCACGAGACAATTTAATTCATATTTTCTCCATAAAACGTATGAATCTTGATAATATTTCCCCCTCTATTGACAGGTCATTTCTTATTCACTCTTGGTCAAGGAGCCAACATCGGTGGAATGAAGGAAAGGTGGTTTGTGGTGGACAAGGATGCTGAGAATAATACCGTCTTTGTGGTAAGATTTGCCTCTACAATAAATCATGAAAAATATGGAAACATGAAACCATTGCATGGAAAATATACGGGAGTCTATGAAGGCCAACGCAATCTTATGATCTGTCAATGACTGCATTTTAAAAGCAACTGGAGTGAGATTACGTATGGAGTTTCAAACCTGTAGATTTAATGTTTCTGAGGTTTAGAATGGGTAAATGAGTAACAATAGTGACATTTATGTGATATTGTAATGTTCTTCCAGTTACAAGAAAAACTCAAATTTGCGACCAGTTGGTTCCAGTTTTTCGACTGGTATGGTGTTACTATTATTTTTTGATGATTGGGTCTCGTTGAATAAAACAGCTTGATCTTTTATCGTGATATATTGCTGATTGATTCTTGTATGTAATTCCAAACTGAGCTTCACGATATACATTTAAAGGTATGACATCGAAATTAGATGACCCGACATTACTAATGGTGACATTTGCTTCAGACTTTATTTCATTACAGATAAGGAAATGAGTAAGTAAGTGGGTTTTTAGCATTTTGGTTAAGAGTTTGAGTCAGAGGTCGCTATGTTTAGTTCAGGGTTGTAGTTTGGAATTCAGATAGTGTAGGAAATTGACCATTGAAAAGCTCTAGAACCCCAAATTATAGTGAAAGCTATATCTTTAAGACCCTATCTTCTTTGGTTGTTCAGGCACCTACTACCCATCACCCAGCCCTGTTCCATGAAACCTTGATGACTGGACCAGTCCACTGGATCCATCAGCCACCTAGACAACTCCTGGAGGATCAGATGATGGATTGTTATTTCAGATTCCAACATGTTCATGGTCTCAGTAAGTAGAATGGAGGCATTCATTTACATTTGCCACTCTTAACCCAGGTTTAATGAATATTGATCCGGTAGGAAGTTACTGGTTATGTACTTTCATGATTGAGGGCTGCACTTTGAGCAACTTCTGTAGTGGATGTGTGTGCAGTATAATTTGTTTTAAATTACATATCCCTATTGGCTATTTTCCTTCAGAAACTGGAAAGAGTCCTGTTTTTTTAATTTTTAAAATTTAAAGTTATGGTCTAGTTTTATTGCTCATGATCGTCTGCTGAATTTGTCTACTGAGCCTATTCTCAACATTTGTAGTATTTTCATGAAATAGATAGGACTAATATTCTACATTCTCTTTCTTTCAGCAAAATGTACCTTGACCTCGAGTTCCATGGGCTCTGTTATTGTTTCTCTCAGTAAACCAATGAGGGCGCTAACACCAGGCCAGGTATGTATAATACAAGGAAATCTTCCCATATTGAAGTGGTGTATCGCAAACTAATGCATTCAGTTTTTTCCATTTTAGTTCCTGATATTCACTAGTTTAAAACTTCTTTTTAAAATAGTTCTTTGCATGATTTAAATCAATCCTAAAAAGATATACATTTGGTTGTCACAACTCACAGGTGGGTGTATACATTTTGTGATTGCCATTATTCAGTTGCTTTTCAAGAGAATGGAATTTGATGAAAAGGATGTTTGATGTGTGATACATAACATGTTTTGACAATACACATGACTTTTAATCATACATGTACTTTCATCTTTGTTTCAGTATGCTGTGTTTTACCTGGGCGATGAATGCCTAGGCAGTGCCGTCATCATGAAACGAGGTCCGTCGCTCTACGAGATGAACTGGAAGAAATACCAGAGTGGAGAATGGAAAACAGAATGGCTCAGCAGTTGATGACATGATCAAACTAGGAATGTCACACTCATAGATGAACTGGATGAAATACCAGAGTGGAGAGTGGAAGACGGGATGATTTGGAAGATGTGGATATCATGAAACAAAGATCATCTCCTAACAAGATGACTTACATAGGAGAAATACTAAAGTAGACAGTTGAAAACAGAAAGGCTCGAGACTTGATGACATCATGAATGAGGATCATCACTCTACAAGATGAACTGGAAGAAACAGCAGAGTGGAGAATGAAAGTCAGAGTGTTTGGAATGATGACATCATGAAAGAGAGAACTTCTCTCTATGAGATTAACTGTAAGAAATACCAGCGGAGAATGGGAGACAGAATTGATAGGAATTTCATTTAGTACATGTACATGTATCTATGTATTACATGATACTCTGCATTTCACAGTGCTTTATAAGGTCCTGTAAAATTTGATTGTACATGTACGTGTATTTATAAACTAACTTCTATCCAAACGATGTGAGAGGTCTTGAACAAAATCCAAAACTGTCTTCACTATAAAGAGTTTATTTATGCAAAATATGGAGTTCAAACCTCAGAATTATTTGTGTCCGCTGTCTATGAAGTATGAATGAGAGAAATGTGTGAACAAAAGTTGAAGAGGCAGTGTGAGACAGAGATAAACTCGCCAATTCGGAAAACACAACCACTAGTAATTTCCTCTTTCTCTATGTCTGTCTTTAAGTTCCTCAAATCTTATGATATCTTTCATGTTTCATTCCTGATACTATGCTTTGCTGGCCCCTGCCACTCTCTCTTTCTCGCTCTTTGCCGATTATCGGTATACATCTTATCTTTAGTTCATCTCACTGATACTTTTACTATATCTCTCATCCTCGACTCTTCTTGAACTACCATTCAGTAATCTTATCTTGCTCTCCCTTTCTCTCTGATTCTTTGTCAAATTTATTGTTCGACTTTGGATAATCTCTCACCATTCTTCCCAGTCTTCTGGAGGATCTGATATTGACAAAATTTCAAACATAGTTATTTGTTTAACTTCTTCGGTGATATAAAGTGCATTATTATCAACACTTCTCTATCTTCTGATGCTCTTTTGATGCTCTTCCATACCTCTCAACCTTTAACTTACTAATTAGTTGAACCCTCTTTCTCTCCCACTCTGTTTTTTTCCTACACGGCCGACTCTTTCACTCTCTCTAATGATGTCTCCTTTACCGTCAATTCCATATCATTTCATATAGTACTTATCCTGTCAATCAAACACAATTTGAAAACATGTTGAGCATACTCCAAACTATGTGGTTTAAAAATACACATTAGATAGCAATATTTAATTAGCGATGATACATAAAGTGTACACTTTATAAAACAAATATACTTGGCACCAAAATAAATTATTTTTGAAAATTTTGACTAGTTTTGACATACGGGTACTGATGTTTCAAACTACCGGTAAGTATCAACTTCTACACTGGTAAGGAGGATGGGCAAATCCTTGGTAATTGATTATTTGCTGTTCCATATGTTAATACAAATAAGAACAAGGGAAACGCTCTCGGCGGTCTCACCTGCATTACGCAATTCAATATTATGAAAAATTGAGGTTGGGACATTATTCATAGACAGAGTGGTCCATTAGCAGCCCCCCCCCCCCCTCCCCCCAATTAAATCCTCTGAATATTTTCAGCATTTTGAAGTGAATATTGACCAAGAGTCATCGGAAGAATTATTTACTATAATTTGTACCAAGATTAATAACTTTAATGGAATATGAAAAATTAACAACAATTGATTTATTAATCCTCACATACTGACCTAAAATGACCTTTGACCTTGACTTTGAGACCTGGAATTTGTGCCATAAGATTTGTGATACTTGATAACCCTTGTGTACAAGTTTCATGGAATTTGAACAAACACTATTGAAATTATGCTAAAAATTCAAAATTTTGTTTGATGTTGATGCCACAAAAGAGTCTAAGTTTTTTGACCTGAAATGACCTTTGACCTTAACTTAGTGACCTGAAATTCTACTCACATGATTGGGGATACTTGATAACCCTTTAGTGTAAGTTTCATTGAATAAGAACTTATACTTTTTTAAATTATATTACAAATTCAAAAACTTAACCTGAGGTTAAGTTTTTGATGATGATGCCACAACATAGTCTAAGTCTGTTGACCTGAAATGACCTTTGACCTTGATTTTGTGACCTGAAATTCTACCCACATAATTGGGAATACTTGATAACCCTAGGTCCAAGTTTCATTGAATGAGAACTTATACTATCAAAATTATACTACAAATTCAAAAACTTAACCTTAGGTTAAGTTTTTGATGTTGACGCCGCCACCGGAAAAGCGGCGCCTATGTCTCGCTTTTTGCTACGCAGTCGAGACAAAAATGAAGTCCAAGATGAATAGTAACAGGAAATAAAATTGTTCAGTTGAACCAAATTATGAGGAGCTCTGATATAGGAGGTATCTGTTATAACAAGGCTGGTTCCAACTCTTTATATTATTATTTTTTACCCTGATATAACAAGATTCTTAATATAACAAGGTAATTTCTTTGGTCCCAATTGTTATAACGAGAATCCACTGTAAAGTGTAAATGCTATTTTTTTCTCATTTTGTATGATACAAGCTCTAGTCATATTAATGTCAACTTAATGGAATCATTTCTTGTATTAAAGAAAGAAATGATTTTGGTAACTCACAGGACATAATACCTTTTCTGCCCAAATTTAAATACATGTGTCTTCATGTGATTATGTAATTCAGTCTAAATCATTTTTTTGTCTTGTTTTGTTATACAGTTGCCTCATAGAGTTCTTTTCCTCACAGGATAGTATTTGAGGAATCTATCCAGAAGTTCAACCCTTTTAAGTGCTGTCGGCATCAAATCCTTTCTGAATTTCAAACTTGTATTGAATGTTTGGACGAAGACATTGTCCTCTTCTTTGAAATTCAGAATCATAGAGATTGATCCTATACCACTGGTTGTATCAAGATGAAATCTAAAACACTACAACAGGGAACCATAATGTTACCTAGTGATATAATGATATTCATTTCAGATATAACTTTAGAAACCGGTTGGCTTTGGATTGAAGAGCGTCTTTGGAATTTCTTCAACGAGCACTCTCTCCTCTGCATGAAAGTTTGTGCATCAATATTCTATTTCCATAAAGCTATGTCTTATCACCTTCATTACATCCTACATCATCCGACAACTCTCCCGGCATTACTTCAATCAATGTCCTTCCATCTTTAGGCTTCTTTCCTTTACCAGGTAGCTTGAGTTCTGAGAGGGTAGCATCTCCTAAATCTGACTTGTCACATTGCAGTCCTACACGGTTGTCCTCGTCACTGTCACTCTCATCTTCTTCACTTTCCTCCTCCTCCTCGTCATCTGAATTTTCATCATGTGCACACAAGGCAAGGTTCTGGATAAGTAAAAGACAGAAAATAACAAGCATTAGATTGGATCTACTATCTACCTGTACTACCAAAATAATTCATGGGCCACTTCCAATAGTCTACCAAGGATGTAATTCACAAGTCTGCACCAACTACATCGTAATGAACAAATTCCAACTTGATACCCCAAAAAAATTATATGCTTAGTGATGAAATACATAGGTATAAGTGTACAAGACAGCTGAACACTTAGAGCAGTTATCTTTAAATAAGAGATACACTTCAAAGCTAGTTTTCTTGGTTCTCTCAAACTCTAGGAGAAATACACATTAATTAAACAATAAATCAACAATATTTTGTGAACAATTGGTCAAACATTAACATGTCTTCGGAGAGGGGAGTATTCTTTTCAATCGTCACCCTCTCTCTAACATCTCTTCTCCCTATTTTTTGAAATTTATATTGATTATTCACAAATATCTGATTGAAATTTAATTCATCACATTTAAATTATAACATTTAATTTACTGGTTGCTTTTAGATTGTCAGTGACTGTCTTAAAATGAACTTAATGGTATAGACCAGTTCTGGTCATGCGATTGCATTGTGAAAGAAACGTTGTGGAATCGATCAGAAAAGGTTGACCATCTAGCATATAAGTATTGGTGTGTACTGCAAGTTTTTGGAATCATCAAAATGATAAGAAATTTGGCCCAGTCTTGGTAAAGTTTCGAGCACTGTACACAGAAAGATGTATATGGGACTACCCTATATCTATCCACTCCGGATAGATATAATAATTTACCAAATAAATATCAATTAGTAGGCGGTTTCCTAGCAAATTTTTATCATCACGTATTGGTAAAAACATAGTCTTTCACATGATTGGTAATAACAGCTTCCATTTCATTTCTTGAGAGGGGGGCGTTTCCAGAACTGGTCTTCACCTTTAACTGCATGTATAATGATGAATAATAACATTTTGTCTATGTAAAGTATGTTTTTCTTTTAAAATACATCAAAGCCCTGAATACAGTTATAGTGCAATACTGCAGTTATTCAGAATATGTACCATTTCAATAATGGGTCCTTCACAATCATCAACATTTTCAATGTCTAGGTCCTCCATGGCACCATCCGCTATCTTCTCTTCAAGCTGCTTGTTGGCCACCTCCATTTGTGGTAAAAAAGACTTCACTCTGCCCAGTACTGTAATACCAATAGATTACAACAAATACAAGGTCTTCATTAGTTATAACAAATTGTATAATTATACTTGGATAGCTTTGGTGGCTGGTGCAATGAGTTTATATTTTAAACTCAATTGTCATGCAAATACAACAGGAGAGAGAGAGCATAATGTAATAGAAAAAGGAGATAGAAAAGGGAGATGGAGAAGGAGAAAAGACAAAGTAGAAGAGGAAGGAGAAGACAATTTAATTAAATATTAGCTTGCCATGGTTCAATTGTTGTGTAATGTTTCAGTAAATTATGACAGGTGATCATGACTAGAGTAGAGTAGAGTGGAGAGTGAGATGAAAATCCCAAGTGGTTTCTAAAATTAATGATAGACTTTGGCTTAATGGGAATGTTATTATTTTGGCTATGTCTAGTAGTAGTATTAAGCCACCATAGCCATGATTTCCTTTCAAAATTAAAAGTCCTAAGATGTTCTGTATATGAGCTGGCTAAATCAAATTTCTAGAGTGTCTTGCATTAGAAGTGTATGGTGAACATCCCACATAAAATTAACAATTTTGTGATTAAAAACAAGATTGTGCGAAAGTGTCACCAAAAATGAAATTTAAAATCACACTGTAAATTTAAAAAAAACCTACCTGATGAAGGCCCCATCTTGAATGGTTTACTTTTCTTGATCAGTAAGGAATCTGTAGGATATGAACCACAAAAATGTAAAAATCATGATATTAGAAGCTCGAACCAGTAGTGGCGCTGGTCCGAGAATAAAGATCGTCCTCACAAACGTTGATCGTCTTCGTAAACGCGGACAGACACGTCCTGAAAAATCAGGATCGTCCGCATTTTCATGTATCAGATCCTCATGATCATTACGGTAGATAACTTCACACAGGCGCGCTCGTCTGCAACCCACCATCAGCATGCACTTGTATTGTGCAACGGTTTGCCTAGACCGAAAGCTTCAGTCTCTATAATCGTCGGTTGTTCCACTGAGACTACGTCTGGCTCCACTAGACCTCCGGTTATAGAGACTGAACGATCGCCTATACCATCGTATGTTGAAGATATCACGGCTAGATTTTAGCCGCTAGGCCCCTCCCACAAACTTGCCACGGCCGTATTGTTATGCCCCCAAAATCCCCCAAAATGTCATTTTACCTCGTTCATTTCCAATTTTAAATTAGGCCTAGGCTATAATACATCGGTTCCACTTACTAACTTGATTGATATAATCCGTTTAATGGTCCCTTTTAAGGAAATTATCGGTCAAAATCGACATCCATGTTGAAAATCTTGCAAGCCGTGTTAAACTCTCGCTGCCGTCAATCTCATTCCCTTCTAGTCTACGCCGAAGGCAAAATGATTATGAAGGAAAAACTGTGATAACGCCATTACGAACGTGTAGATGGCGCACAGTTTTTCCTTCATAATCATTTTGCCTTCGGTGGAACCGAGTGGAACCGATGTATTATAGCCTAGGCCTAATTTAAAATTGGAAATGAACGAGGTAAAATGACATTTTGGGGGATTTTGGGGGCATAACAATACGGCCGTGGCAAGTTTGTGGGAGGGGCCTAGCGGCTAAAATCTAGCGGAATAAGTTCAACACAGGCTGGCATAGGCAGTCGTTCTGTCTCTATAACCGGAGGTCTAGTGGAGCCAGACGTAGTCTCAGTGGAACAACCGACGATTATAGAGACTGAAGCTTTCGGTCTACGGTTTGCCATGAAACCTGTGAAAAAGTGTATACTAATATCAACATTTTTCCAAAAAATACTCCAAAAATAACAAGAAAAATTTACATGAAACAGGTAATAAACATAACAAATTTTAACTCATGTTCTTTATTTAAACATTCGATGAATATTTACTTCATTTTGGGTATGTTTTAGTGGAATATCTCCACGCCTGAGTTACGGATCAAAAATGGACACGAAAGTACACTAGGATCACATCACATCACATCACGTTGGATCGAGCTACAGCCCGAGATTAGTAGCGGTCAGCGCATAGCGAACACCGGCGGGTCCCTGGCGCTGGCCTGGTGTTAAAGTGAGACCGGCAAAAAATTTCCTCCCAGTATTATAATTTTTAAATCTTGAGTTAACCACTCAAGCTCAAGCACTTACCCTGAATATTTTTCTCCCCAATATTGAGTAGTTCTTGTGAAGGATTCATCTTCTAAATAAATTGACCCTGTATGGATGATTCACAGTCGTTTGAAGACAATTTTTTACAGCTTTCAGGATCACGTACGGTACGGTACCACGCGATATTGTGTACATGTGATCATGTATGGAAAACCTAACATTTCATGTAAACATTAAAATGAACAAATATACTTTAAATAAAAAATACCGTTTTGAATCTTGTTGTTGCTAACGATGGATAATAAAAAATATTTTATATATTTCATACCGGCTATGAAAGACTTTAATTGATTTGTATCATTAATTAAATCTTACTTTAGACTCTAATTAGTACACAATTGTACTCCCTCGTGCAGTGTTCCATAGTTCAAAAACGTCTACCTCAAATGAATGGATGGAAGATCTAGTCTAGTATTTGTAGTAAGAGTTAAAAACTAGATACAAGGGAAATGGACGTGGACCAGGACATGAAAGTTACGATTCGTATGAGGAAAATAGCGAGAAAGAAGGTTGGCCTCATTTTGAAGATTCTTTGAGTAAATGGATTTTTAAATGTTAAAACCGTTTAATTTTGTTACTCTAGCTCTGCATTTGTGATATGATGATGATCTTACCAGTTTGCATGTGTTAATTGTGATGATATTGTGAATGTGAGTGGATGGAGCTGGAGCTGGAGTTGATGAGTGAACTATGAAGTTGAACAACTAGATTTAGATCTATTAGTGTTTTGCTCCTTATATTTTGAAGCTTTAATTGCCTTCTGATAATTAATGTTGTACTTACGCTGTTTCTTTTGACTAATTTTATATTCTTATAATTATATAATAGTCTAGTCTATAGTCTAACTAGTCTACATGTATAGGGGCGTCCGCATAAACGAGGATAACCTCATGAACGCGGATAAATTGCTTCCTAAAAAATAAAATAAGGATCGTCCATGGACGTTTTTTTTCCTTGGTGCTCTGCGGGTGCACAGGAAAAACATATTCCGCTTAATAAAATACCACCAGTTCACCGTCTACTTTTATGGGTTGTCCGTCTTCCCGAGGATTTATTGTTGGTAACGTGAGAGTCTCTGCGCAAAGTGAATGTAAAATGTATCAAAGAGCATCATTGCGGAATCCATTTTTCACATCTCCAACACACGGATTGGAAATAAGAATCGTCCGCAAAAATGTGGACGATCCTTATTTTTAAGGACCATTTGTCTGCGTTTACGGAGACGATCCTGGTTTATGAGGATAACCCTTATTCTCAGACCAGCGCCCCTACTGATTACTAAGTATAAGCTTGAGTGCAGAAATGAACGATTCAGCAATAATTTTGAAATATTGCAAAAGCATTTGAAATTTTGAATATTTCATTTTCTTCTTAGGAACCCAAAATTTGTAACAGGATACATTTGAAAAGCCCTTGAATTGATAAAGTCATATATAATTCATTATTCACTTTGTAGATCTATATCTGTTTAAATGTTATAAAAACTTCAATGATCAATCCTCTTGTTTTTATCTTTCATATTGCGTCAAGGTATTTGCTGAGACTGTGGCAGCCAAGCAATTGACAAGCAACCCACCAGAATGGAAATGCTGCAATCACTGTTTCAGGAGTGCCATCGATATCCACAAGCACACATCCCTGGAACATAGTGAAGAGATTGACAGCAAAACGATGGATGCTCTGAAGAAAGCCAGGACTGCTTGCAGCACCTCTAAACATATTCTTGAAAATGCAGAGCCAGGAGAGGGACAGAAGAATAAGCATCAAGGGTCAAGAGAAACTCCAAACGGTTGTGTCAATCCAGCAGGTGTTTGTGCAGGTGAAAGCACTAGCAAAAGAAGACACTGTTCCTATTCTGAGGATGATGTGCGACCCTGGTTACCCATGGTAACCCAGTGTGATGCTGAGGATGAGGAAAGCAGATGTGACAAGAAAAGCAGAACAAAAGAGGGTCAAGTCCTTCTGTTCTACAAATATGTTGATTTGGCAGATCCGGCCGACATTTGTGAATGGCAGAGAGAGTTGTGCAGGAGACTTCATTTACATGGAAAGGTATACTATTTCATATTGAAAATATCAAATTTAATCAAAAATATATCCAAGATTGTGAAGATTATTTCGTGTATTACCTTCTCATATAATTGAACTGATGATATTTATTTGTTATGTAGTAAAAACCTGCTTTAGTGACTACCTGTATAGAAAAAACATCCCATCTCTGAAGGCCTTATTTGTTGTTTCTCTTGAAAACTGGTTCCCATGGAAACCTTACAAAAGTTGTCTAACTTATTCATTCAGACCATCTGCTGTGTATAACAACAATATATTTTGTCTCTCTAGTTTTCTTTATGTAGGTTTCAATATGGGTGGGTAAAATACAAATGAAGTGACTCTGTGTGTGAGATTGTGAAACAGATACCTTTTGTTTGTGAAAACTGACCTAATCATTCCTTCTATATTGCCAATGTTGCTATTGGATATTTCAGATCAGGATAGCTAGAGAAGGCTTGAATGGTACAGTAGGTGGTGCATTGATCAGCACTCAGCAGTACATGGAAGCAGTGATGACACACCCATACTTCACAGACATGAACATTGAGGATTTTAAGGTGATAGATTTTAATTCTGCATAAAATCAACCAATGATTGCTATAAATAAATAATGAAAGTATGTGCTAAATTGAAATTTGTCCATATTTATTCTTTGTTCTTGCTGGTAGTATTGACACATATTTCTTACAAGATCTGTTTTAAATTGACACCAAGGAAGTGCTGGAACTTGAAACTATGTGGCTTATAAATATGATTGATGAATGGTCCTCAAGATTGCAATTAAAGGTCAAACAGATATGTAGTGCATCTGAGGAAACTGCAATCAGTTAAACCAGCCTGGCTGAAAACAATACATATTTGTAATTTTTCACTAAAAAGACATTTATGTACAATTGAGTGTTTATGTCTTTATTCTTTTTAATCTTCAGAAATTTTCTTTAGGAGAAAAAAAATCCCCCCATATTTTCTGCTTTTTGCTTTCAATTATTGCTTGTGGATGCTCCATTAATCATTGTAATTTAAAAGAATGAAATCTAGCACTCATGAAAGTATTTCATTTTACATCAGAACACACTTCTTTCAGAAAAGTATCACAGCAACAATATCCACATACCATAAATCTCCCTTTTCTCTAACACTGATCAGTATAGTAGAATGTCTACAAGAAATATATATATGTATGATCAGAAATTTAATTTGGATACCATGGACTAATGAATTGCAATTCAGATTACAAAGTCCACTACAATGATGTTGTTATGCATGTACTAAATCACAATAGTCTGTATTTCATTTTGTTACCTTCTCTTTTTTTCCAGACAAGTCAAGGAGGCCATGACAGTTTTCCTGATGGTCTTGTTGTCTCAATTCATCAGGAAATTGTTCCTATGGGTATGGATCCTATGCTGGTCAGCTTCAAAGATGCAGGTGGGATATAGTCCATTCTAAACTTAGACTGAAATAGCTCTCACTGTGTAATTGTATAAGATTTCAAATTTAGGAGGAAGACGAAGCAAAGGGGCAATTTCTTGAGATATGTGCTCCGTTTATGGCGCAATAGCTCAGTGGTAAAGCAGTGGTCTGGTAACTGGGAAATCCCAGGTTCGAAACAAAGTCAATCGTAGAGGAATTAAAGCCGTCGGTCCCCTGGTTGCTTACTTACAAGCCTACACATGCTTTCTTAGCAGTCCGGTAAAACAAGCAACCACCCAATTATATGTATCTTTTTCATCCAAGGATAAAAAATTATGATGATTTGACCATTGACAATCATGAGTGATACGAGGAAGAATAATTAGACAATCAAGAGAATGTTTCATTTTAGGTTAATATTTCATGGAATTGCCCAGAGGGCAAAAGTATTGAACTGTGGGATATATCAGAAATCATTAGAATAATTGATCTGTTCCCACAATTTAGGAATAATGATTTTCTGAACTTTTTTAAATTGATGGTTCATATCAATTATCATATGAAATCTCACTTTTTATTTATCCAATGAAACAACCAGGAATATCTGAGTCAAATAAAATATTAAATCATGTTGTCAGCTTTAAATCTCAAAACTTGTAAAAGGCCAAAATGTTTTAAAAATCATAAGTGAAAACTTTCCTGGTGGAAAAATATTAATTATGAGCAAAATTACAGTCATTTTTTTCTTCTTCAAATTTGAACTCTGTGACTGGCATTGTTTTATTCACCTCATTTGTTGTGTACAAAATGAGGGCTTCAATTTTTCACTCGTAGAGAGAAAAACATTTAAAGTCTTTTTATCTGAAATTTTGCACATACTTTCATAAACTCATCTCGCTGCTGGAGATAACTTTTTCAGGGCTTGCATATCCCTGATAGGGGCTTAAATATATGTGTGAATATGTGAGCTTTTAATGTGTGGAGTAATTCATGAATGGTTTAATGTCCTCTCTTTGTAGGTTGTCACCTTACACCAGCCCAGTTCCATGAAGAAGTTCAGAGGCACAGAAATGCCAAGGAAAGAGAAGAGAAAACAAATACAGTCTTCATTGACTGCAGGAACTTCTATGAAAGCAGGATTGTGAGTATAAAAATCAAGTGTAATATCAGTGAAAACTAGATGGAATTTTGACTGCGCGCAGTCGAAAATGATGCCTCCGCCATAGAGCAATTTAAACAAGTTTGGAGTTTAAATCTCCAGTGGTTCTTGAGATATCATGATAACAATCTCAATGTATGGAATTTCATAAGTTGACCTCTGTGACCCTTGACCTTTGACCTACGTGCTCCAAAATCTAATCAGATTGTCTTCCTATGGTGATACACACTATCATTAAGTTTGAAGTTTAAATCTCCAGTGGTTCTTGAGATATTATGATATGGTGATACATACTATCATTAAGTTTGAAGTGAAAATTCTCCAGTGGTTCTTGAGATATCGCGATAACGATCTCAATGTATGGAATTTCATAAGTTGACCTCTGTGACCCTTGACCTTTGACCTACGTGCTCCAAAATCTAATCAGATTGTCTTCCTATGGTGATACACACTATCATTAAGTTTGAAGTTTAAATCTCCAGTGGTTCTTGAGATATTATGATAACAATCTCAATGTATGGAATTTCATAAGTTGACCTCTGTGACCCTTGACCTTTGACCTACGTGCTCCAAAATCTATTCAGATCGTCTTCCTATGGTAATATATACTATCCTTAAGTTTGAAGTTTTTACATCTCCAGTGGTTCTTGAGATATCATGATAACAATCTCAATGTATGGAATTTCATAAGTTGACCTCTATGACCCTTGACCTTTGACCTACGTGCACCAAAATCTAATCAGATCGTCTTCCTATGGTGATACATACTATCCTTAAGTTTGAAGTTTAAATCTCAAATGGTTCTTGAGATATCGCGCTAACAAACTCAATACAAGGAATTTCATAAGTTGACCTCTGTGACCTGTGACCTTTGACCTACGTACTCCAAAATCTAATCAGATCGTCTTCCTATGGTGATAAATACTATTCCCGAGTCTTAAGTTTAAATCTTAAATGGTTCTTGAGATATTGTGATAACGGTCAAACGGGACGGACGTACGGACGTACGGACGGACGTACGGACGGACGTACGGACGGACGTACGGACGTACGGACGTACGGACGGACAACCCGAAAACATGATGCCTCCGGCACCACCTTCGGTGGCGGAGGCATAAAAAGGTGTAGAAGGGGATAGGGCGTAGAGGCCAAATATTGTAGGAAGTCAATAAGATATATACATATATGGTTAGCATGATGGCAATGTTGATAAATCAAGATTTCTTTTACCACCCAATAGTGTATTCTTTCATCTTTTTCTCCTTACCATACCATCATTTTCATGTACAGTAAATTAACCTCTTCATTGCAATGGGTGACAAAAACTGCCTCACAATTTCAGTGGTATACTAATAATGGCTAAATGTATAATATTTCACATAGACCGAAAAAAGAGTACTTGACATGAACTTGAGAATATTCAGGCCTGATAATTACCCGATTTAAATCGGTTTCCTGATTTTTTTTACCAATTTTTTTTTTTACCCGATTTTGCCCCTAATTTCCCAATCTTCTTACTCAAAAGGCAGGGAATGTTGTTAGATGCCATTCCCCCCCCCCCCCCCGAATCCCTTTTTTATGCCTCCGCCACCGAAGGTGGTGCCGGAGGCATCATGTTTTCGGGTTGTCCGTCCGTACGTCCGTCCATTATCACAATATCTCAAGAACCATTTAAGATTTAAACTTAAGACTTGGGAATAGTATTTATCACCATAGGAAGACGATCTGATTAGATTTTGGAGTACGTAGGTCAAAGGTCACAGGTCACAGAGGTCAACTTATGAAATTCCTTGTATTGAGTTTGTTAGCGCGATATCTCAAGAACCATTTGAGATTTAAACTTCAAACTTAAGGATAGTATGTATCACCATAGGAAGACGATCTGATTAGATTTTGGAGCACGTATGTCAAAGGTCAAGGGTCACAGAGGTCAACTTATGAAATTCCATACATTGAGATTGTTATCATGATATCTCAAGAACCACTGGAGATTTAAACTTCAAACTTAAGGATAGTATGTATCACCATAGGAAGACGATCTGATTAGATTTTGGAGCACGTAGGTCAAAGGTCAAGGGTCACAGAGGTCAACTTATGAAATTCCATACATTGAGATTGTTATCATAATATCTCAAGAACCACTGGAGATTTAAACTTCAAACTTAATGATAGTGTGTATCACCATAGGAAGACAATCTGATTAGATTTTGGAGCACGTAGGTCAAAGGTCAAGGGTCACAGAGGTCAACTTATGAAATTCCATACATTGAGATTGTTATCATGATATCTCAAGAACCACTGGAGATTTAAACTCCAAACTTGTTTAAATTGCTCTATTGCGGAGGCATCATTTTCGACTGCGCGCAGTCAAAATTCCATCTAGTTTTTTTTTTACTCAAGGTGGGGGTGGTTGTGGAAAAAAAAAAACATTTTGAGAATGTCTAGTAAATTTTGTGGCTTAGTAAAGTAATAAATAATAATAGTGGATTCTTGTATACCGCTTATGTCAGTCAGATTTGACCCTCCTGGCGCTCCCGATTAAAATGATATTAAGAACTAAACAACAGTCGCAGTTTATCCTAAAGAAGAAAGGAAATAACTCAAATATTCCATTTCTTTACCCATAGGGTATTTTCCCTGATGCCATCACACCAGACATACGTAAATTCAGCTACTGGCCTGAGTATGTAGATAAGAATGAAGCAGTGTTTGCCGACAAGAAGGTCCTTATGTACTGCACGGGAGGTATCAGATGTGAAAGGGGCTCAGCATACCTCAGGTCAAAGGTCAGTATCTCTCTATTGTGTACTAATGTATTTATAATCCATTTACTCCTCTGCTGATTTGAAATTGCCAAACCTTGATCGCTGAAAGATTTTCATTGTAAGCGATGTGAAGAGCTTCTCAGATTTGATCGTGAGAACAAAAGAGTAAAAGGTGAAAAAGAATTTTTTACCTTCATAAAAATTATTTGAGTATGACATATGAGTATGAAACTTCAGTGTCTATGATGTAAATGATATCTAAAGCTTCATTGTCAATATTTGGACTTGTTTTATTTTTGAGATACAGTCTTTAGTTGATCTCACGGAAATGACCATTTTGATCTCTCATTGAGTCGTCCTGATCTAACCTCCTAAGGTGAAACTTTAATATTTTAACTTATTGAGTATGAATTGTGCTTCCGTACACAGGGAATTTGCAAAGAGGTGCTACAGCTAAAGGGGGGTATCCACAGGTATCTAGACCAGTACCCAGATGGCTTCTTTAGAGGCAAGCTGTTTGTCTTTGACAACCGCTATGCTATTCAAACAAACCAGGATGTCATAGCAGGTAAGACTATGTACCATTCATTTGATAGTAATTAATTATTATAGCAATTATAATAATAATAAATAATGATGGTCATAATGATGATAATGATAATATAATGATAATGATGATGATAATAGTAATAATAATGATGAATAATAATATTAAGAAGAAGAATCATGTGTGTGTAATTGGCTTTTTACAGACGTGTATCAATCAGATGATTATTTACGTCTGGGTACCGACCTTTAACGTCACCATCCGAAAGACGTGACTCAGTTTCAAATCTGCGTTCTCGGCTGAATCAGTTTGTAACTTCCATTTAGCTGGATTACAGGCACTCGCCACAACACCCTGTTGTCCATGCAAACTTTATATAAACCTACTATTAACATTGATTTCAGGTACTGACTGAAGTTTTATTTCTATAATGTGAGAGCAGTCCAAAGTGCATTTTGTTCGTAGATCAAGAAATGATTACATTGTATCATTTCTCCTCAGAGTGCTTCCACTGCTCAAAGCCTTGGGATGAGTACGAGCCATGCAGCAGTAAGCACTGCCACCAGCTAGTCCTGTCCTGTCCTTCCTGCAGGACCTCTGGCTTGACCACCTGCTGCAGGAGGTGTGCAGAGCTAGCCCTGGACTATGCCTCCGGGGAGGACGGCAAGACCAAGACCAAGAAAAGGAAGGAGGGGTGCACCTGCACCAAGAACCGAGAGAGGATCCCTGTGGAGAAATTGGACAGTAGTTCTGCATGTAGCGCAATCAAAGTTGATGGTGTTAAACCCTGTCGAGGCACTGGAAGTACAAGAGATGTGCAGAGTTGATGATGGATAGTGAAGCTAGTAGATAGTAGATAGTGGAGGTAGAGAAAGTAGTTTTTGAATCCCATTTATGTTATTTTATGAATTGACAAGCCTCAACCTGTCTTTGGATACTCTTCCTGTGTAGCATCCAGACGTGGATTCTTGTCCAGTCCCTTTGTCCACCCTTCAAGGATATATCATGGAATCAGTACACAAATTCTAGAAAATTAATGGTACATGAAATAACAAAACCCTATTGCGGTGGAAGGAATCCCTTGCAGTAGTTCAACTTGTATTATGATCAATATTGTCAACTGTAGCTGTTGTGAAAACTTTTGGAAGACGATTTGGAGGGCAAACCACCCTTTCTGTGTTATAATTTTGACATTATTGACTTGACTTAACATATTTTTGTTTTGTTTATGTGTTTAAGTAAATCGTTTAAGTGGCTTTACTCTTTTAATTTGGTTTTGAAATTGCAATTACCCAGAAATTTTACAATTTTATAATACTTGCCACATCTTTTAACATCATGCTGATAAATGCATTAATGTATTATTGCGTGTTTAACACCATTTTATTATTTGCAGTATCTGACTGAAATATCATGTATGATATTTGATAAACAAAGATATTAAGAATAAGAAATATAGAAAACAAGTAATATCTCCTCTGATTTTCAAATTGTATATTTGTTGCAGTTTTTTTAGAATAGTTAGATACTAGAAGTTGAATCTTAGCAATCCAGTTGAAGTCCTTGTCAATATGAGTGCCTAGATATTTGTATTCTGAAACCACCCATCTTTCATCTTGATTAAGTATCAATGGCATGATAACTTTTTAGAGTTTTTTCCCCTAAAATCCATACCGTTTCTTTTCTTTTGTTTTGTCTTTGTATTAAGAATCAGTGACAAGTGTGTATACCATATGACAAAGTCAGCTGCCTTGGTTCTATACATGTTTTTCTGCTTATCTGTGATTCAATTATTTCACAATATTTATTCATTCTCCAATTGAAAATAAAACCCACAAACATTGAAATATATAAATATTGAATAAAGTAAATAATGTCAGTGAGAGGATACATCCTTCTGGTGTCCCTGTGTGTAGAATCTTTCTTTCTTTCTCAGCCTTTTTGACATGAAGTCACTTATCCGAATTCCAAAGCAACAAATTACAATTGATATGCATGTCATAGTATAATCTGCCAATGAGTTTATGGGGCACATCCATTATTGAATGCTGAGGGATGAATGAAAGTTATTGTAATGAGCAGGTATATATTGTTGCAACTAATCATGTATCATTATGGCATGTGCATTATTAATGTTTTATATCAAATTGACATTTAAATTTCAAATATATTCAAATTGAATTAAAAATGTTCATGACAGTCATTTTTCACACAATCACTTTACTGTGTGGACAGAGAGCTTTGTGTTCAGACTGCCTTACTCATTGTCTGCTGCACTAGCCTGCACCATTGCTGTGTTTGTTGATTGGTTCAGATTCTGATGGTGTTCATGTTTCTTTGAAGCAGTTTTTTTTAATGATGAAAGAAAAATGGAAAGAAGATAGAGAGAGATAAAGGAGGGAGGGAGAATGAAAGAAAGAAAAAGAAATAGAAGAAGATGTGTGGGTGAGTGTTGTATGTGTGTATCTGAGAGAGGAGGAGAGGGGGAAAAGGCTGTGGGAGAGTAGAGTAGAGAGGGGGCAAAACAAAAATGGGGGAGCAGATCAAGGGAGGTAAGGGAAATAATAGGTGGCAAAAGTAAACAATTCAGATGAATGAGATATAGAGTTGTGGAGAAATTTGGAGGAGGGCACAACCAGCTCATGCCCAATGTGGCCTGCATTTAAAAAAAAAACACTAAAAAAAAGGGGGGAAGGTGGGGTAATTGTGTTCTTGTATGCTTTGCACATCTAGACCAAAAGGACACCTGGAAATGCGATACTCACTTTTGTGATTTTCAGAGGGTTTAGATAATTGCCTCCCCCCCCCCCCCTTCCCCTTTCAAGATCTGGATCTGCCCCATATTTAGAGCACTGTCTATATCCAATCAATACCATGAGATAGAAAGTGATATTGCCAGAGACAGTGAGACAGAATGGATAAGTGACAGAAGGGGAAGCATTGAAGAAAATTGGTGATGTACGTACTATGAGAGAGGCGATAAATTTGTTTAATGTCAGTAAATTTAAGATATTAAGAATAAAGTAATATATTGGTGATTGTGAACAAATGAATATGACATGGTAAAGTCTTCCGATTTAGGAGTTTCAGACTAGTGGAGTGAAAGTTGTTTTTTTTGTCACTCTCTCTCTCTCTCTCTCTCTTTCTCTCTCTGCTACTCTGCGCTGTACAGCAGGTTTTAAACATGAAAAACCCTCCATCCTTTTCTGTCTTAAGCTCTTTCCTTCATTTTTTGGTATGTATCATTTTAATTGCTTTGATATACCATCCAACATCCGCCAACATCATAATTCTTTTCCTTCCCCTCGGCCTTTTTCCTTCTATCCTTCCTTCGATTATATTTCTCTGGAGATTGAATGTAAAAATGTATTGTATGCAAAAAATATATAATTTAATTTCAATGATAGAAAAATATGCCATATATGAAATGATACGTGGACAAATGAAAGCATCATCTTTCGTGCTGCGCTGTTTAGAAGGAAACTAATCAGCGTGGACGTACATCATTGGTGGAAAGTGCGATTAGACTGGTAAATATCTCTTCTCGTGACTCACTGCGTGTCATGAGAATGGAAGCATAGTACAAAAACGTGATAGTTATAGCAGCAGCGAAGGTAACAGAAAATACGACAGTTCGGTAGGTAAGTGGAGAATATTTCATTGCAGGCAGTGTTATTTTTATATAAGTAATGGGTAGTTTTTTACGTTTTCATTAAAATTACACCACTTTTTCATTGTATATGATGTATTACCACTTACATCTATGTGTTTGTAACGGAGCAAGGGATCAAGTTATCATTTTTCGGGCAAAAGTTCTTCGCGTATATATGCAACGTGAACGATTAGTCTTGGTGTACCGTTTAGAATGTATGGGGACCGCATCCAGGGAAGGTCGCAAGCGCCGCCCACTTGAACTTTGAAGCAAAGATAAGTTTCTTCTTTTCTTTTTTCTTCTACTTCTACTTCTTTTTCTTCTTCTTGTTTTCCTTTTCTTCTTCTTCTTCTACTTCTACTTCTCCTTCTTCATCTTCTTCTTCTTCTTCTCCTAGTCTAGATTAGACCGAAAGCTTCAGTCTCTATAATCGTCGGTTGTTCCACTGAGACTACGTCTGGCTCCACTAGACCTCCGGTTATAGAGACTGAACGACTGCCTATGCCAGCCTGTGTTGAACTTATTCGGCTAGATTTTAGCCGCTAGGCCCCTCCCACAAACTTGCCACGGCCGTATTGTTATGCCCCCAAAATCCCCCAAAATGTCATTTTACCTCGTTCATTTCCAATTTTAAATTAGGCCTAGGCTATAATACATCGGTTCCACTTACTAACTTGATTGATATAATCCGTTTAATGGTCCCTTTTAAGGAAATTATCGGTCAAAATCGACATCCATGTTGAAAATCTTGCAAGCCGTGTTAAACTCTCGCTGCCGTCAATCTCATCCCTTCTAGTCTACGCCGAAGGCAAAATGATTATGAAGGAAAAACTGTGATAACGCCATTACGAACGTGTAGATGGCGCACAGTTTTTCCTTCATAATCATTTTGCCTTCGGCGTAGACTAGAAGGGATGAGATTGACGGCAGCGAGAGTTTAACACGGCTTGCAAGATTTTCAACATGGATGTCGATTTTGACCGATAATTTCCTTAAAAGGGACCATTAAACGGATTATATCAATCAAGTTAGTAAGTGGAACCGATGTATTATAGCCTAGGCCTAATTTAAAATTGGAAATGAACGAGGTAAAATGACATTTTGGGGGATTTTGGGGGCATAACAATACGGCCGTGGCAAGTTTGTGGGAGGGGCCTAGCGGCTAAAATCTAGCGGAATAAGTTCAACACAGGCTGGCATAGGCAGTCGTTCAGTCTCTATAACCGGAGGTCTAGTGGAGCCAGACGTAGTCTCAGTGGAACAACCGACGATTATAGAGACTGAAGCTTTCGGTCTAAGTCTAGATCTACTTCTTCTTTTCGCCTTCTCCTTCTTCTTCTTCTCCTCCTAGCTCCTCCTCCTCCTCCTCCTCCTCCTCCTCCTCCTCCTTCTCCTCCTCCTCCTCCTCCTCCTCCTCCTCCTCCTCATGGGGGGGGGGGGGGGTGCCACACCCCCACCTGTTGGGATATTGTCGGTGAAATTGCGCTGCTGTCAGGAGAAAAGGAAAAGAAAGGAAAGAAGAGAAGAATAAAGGGAAAAAAGAGGAATGAAAGGAAAAGAAAGGAAAAGGAGAAGAGAAAAAGGAAAAAAAAAAAATGGGGATGAAAGAGAGGAGAGAGAGAGGGAGGGGGTAGTTAGAGCCTGAGAGAAGAGGGGTGGGAGTAAGAAAGAGAGGGGTATATTGGGTGGAGTAGCCACGTTGAGGGAGGAAGAAAGATATGCAAAGATAATTATGTAATATGTTGCTGTGTCTGTATTCTTGCTCAATCCTTATGTACTATACCCATGCAGAAGTTTGAAGTCGATAAGATGTAATATGTCGGTTGGCCAGCAATTTTTTTTCCCCTACAAACTGTGTCTTTTTATCGGACAAATAAAAACATTTTTTGAAAATTCAGACAAGGATTACAAGTCGAAAACAGTACAACGAATTGTCTTCTTTCTCTAATAATCTAATGAAACGTCAAAGCTTCCATGCCTCGGATGAGAGGGGAAAAACTGAATTCAGACAAGGATTTAAAGTAGAGAACAGTACAACGAATCATCTTCTTTCTCTAATAATTGAATGAAACCTCAAAGCTTCCGCGCTTCGTGCGGGAGGAGGGGGGAACTGAATTCAGACTCAAAAACAGTATAACGAATCGTCTTCTTTCTCTAATAATTTAATGAAATGTCAAAGCTTCCATGCTTCGCACGAGAGGGGGAAAACTGAATTCAGACAAGGATTTAAAGTAGAGAACGGTACAACGAATCATCTTCTTTCTCTAATAATTTAATAAAATGTCAAAGCGTGGGAGGGGGGAAAAATAATTTAGCTCCTGGCCCCAGGTTTATTTGGTAAATTCTTAAAAATTGAGACATTAGCATTAGTATATTCGTTGGTAATTGGTGGCTAGTTTGGTGACCTCTACACCCCCCCCCCTCACTGAAAAAGGTTTAGCGACGCCCCTGCCTCCTCGTTCTTCTTTTTCTAGTGCTTCCATATTTCAAGCACAAGAATTTACAGTTGATTTATTCAAAATAAATGCAGTCCCCATAGGCCATAGTCTATCTATTAAAGGCAAAGGTGAGAGTAAGACCTCCATTAATAAACCATTTTCGCAATGTAATCAAAATTAAAGTTATGTATAAACCTTTGTTACATGCCATGTAATTGTTGTTAGTTTTGTTCCAAATAATTGTATTTCAATAGGCAAAATGCGAATTGCATACAAAGGGCAACATTATGGCTTGTCTTTATACCTAACAACATAGAATAAATTGTATGCCATTCATATTCTGACTATTATTAATATTAGTATCAAAATACAATTATTCGTAACGGGTGAATGAAATCATTTGTAACAATTTTAATTACATTACGAAAATGGACTATTGAAAGTCAAGCTATGAAAAAATCACTATTGGACATCTGCTTTCAAAATGAACATGATAACGATAGACGCAGGAAATAGAAAAATTTGCAGATCTTTTCTCAATATTTTCATAATTGGAATATTTGACGCTCTATTCCAAAGATACTTTCATCTTTTGGAAGACCTTTTATTGTTAGTTCCTCTTTCCATAGATGAAGGTATTAGATTTTCAAAATGTTATAGATTTTTTTTTGTATATCCCATCAAAATATGATCATAAGCGAAATATGGTCACACTAGTACCATTAGGCATTTTAATAATTAAAGGTAGTTACAGACGTGTAGTACTATAGATCTAATTCAACATATTTTATTTCAGATGTAAGAAAACAAGATGTATTGGATTCGTCCTCTGAGAGCTTCCATCTTGGTCCTGTGTATACTGGGATTGTACTCCAATGTTCAAGCAGGGAGAGAGATAGATTCGGATGTGTATTGTGGAGGTAAGCAAGCAAGTCAACTACCTTCAAGGCAAATTTCAGAAAGGGAATGAAACATTAACGTGATTCGATAAAGCAGGTTGAAAGGAGAATATTATCTGTTGCTGCTTGTTGATGTTCAAAGTAGCTTGCTTTTGTCATGACGCCACGAGGCAGTGTTTCACTTCTAGAAAAGCCTGTACTATGTAGGTTACAGCTTTGAAAAAAATGTTTATATTCTATGATGAAAAAGAAAATGATTTGTGTCTGTACTTTTGTGATGTCACCAGAGCCATCCCAAATCACTGTTTGTTGTTTTAAAGCAAGAATAGATACTTCAAATTTTACTATGTAGATTTGATTTTGTTCAGCCCATTGTATTGATTTTATCAATATTTGAATGTATTTCGTTTGTTACTTTTGTTTTTTATTTTCTTGTTATGCACTGACATGTCATGAAATTCTCTGTTTGAACTCTAGCATGTCGAGCATTGATCAGTGAGGTTGAGTATGCCATAACTCAGGAAGACCCTCGTCAGACTATTACTGTTGGGAGTTTCAGGATTGACCCCAAAGGGGAACAAAAACAAAAAAAGGTCAGTTCATGAGTTATGTTTATTGTTTTATCACTATGAATTCAATCACCCATGCCTTATAGGGGAAAATGATCACAATCACTATACGGTTCTCCTTTGGTCTCTTCTTCTGTTACAACTTATATGGGATGTACAGGTATATTTCTATACCACTGTTTCCCCTTAGAATGCAGTAAGTTCCTAAATGTGCATGGGTTTAGTGGTGACTCTTCATTCTAAGGGACCTCCATTTAACGTCCTATCCGAGTGATGGATTTTTCTCCACAGTAATCAAGTCTGCCTCTATTGACCAGGAAATGTGCACATTAACACATAACATAGGCTGCAGTCATCCACCTGGGATGTATTCATGCCCCTAATAAGTTTCAATCTTAACAGCATATTATATTATGACTTAACTACCTCGACACGACTTAAAGAACTAGACTAGGCGTATATAGTCAAATTTGACTGAACGCCATAAATACAACCAACAACGCATTTTAGAGTTGTACAGTCAAAACAAGTTCATGAAGATCTTTGAAAAATATTGTCTCTGCAGATACAAGATAAGTTATGTGGTCTTTTTTTAAAGGAAAAATAGTGATTAATGCTTTCAGTCAGTTCAACACTTTCAATACTTGTTCAGTTTTAGACTTCCTTTCTTTAAAGAGCAACTGACTAGTAGTCAATACTTCAAACATAATTCAAAACTTACATGCATTCAAAAGATTTTGGACAAAAAATGTAAAAAATTAATTCTTATTATCTCTTGGTAGATACCATATGCTGGATCTGAGTTGCACTTGACTGAGGTGATGGAGACCGTCTGTGATAAAATGACCGACTACGCAGAAAAGACAGACCCAGAGACCAATGAGAAAACCTATGTGAGGTATCAGGCACGGAATGGAGAAGACATGGAACTTATAAATGTATCTATCAACCTCACCACAGGGAAAGTTCTGAAAGTTGCAGTAAGTTTTCTACCTAATTTATTCAATACATCAATGACAATCTTGAATTCTGGTAGTAGCAAAGTGTCTGACTGGTGCATACAAACAAAATCATCACTTTAAACTGATTTTTTTTAGAAATTACAAAGAAATGAACCTTGTTTTTAAATGAAGAATAATCCCCAATCTTTATTAGGCCTACAGCTGAGAAATTCAAAAAATACCCCCCCCCCCCCGAAAAAAAAATGAAGGAAAATGTTTAGTTTTTTTTCACTACTTTAAAGATATATTGTACCACATGTGCATTTCTGTGATGTTGTGCTTTTTATTTGTTGATTATTGGCAGGTTTTCCTTATCTTCTCTTTTTGTTTAACATTATTTTGTCAGTGGTTTTGCATCCCCCATGATAAAAAAAAGTACATTAGCTTTATTTTGAACTGTGTAGAAAAAGTTAAACATATTTCTTGCATAATACAGTCTTATTTAAGTTACTTTTAATGAGATACATGTACTACTAAACATCACCTTTTGGAAGCTTAAGGATGTTTGGCCCCCACTTGTAGAAATATGATCTCCTTCACATTTTATCCAACTTGTAAAACGTGTGCCCTCACTCCCCGTCCTCCCTGTTACTGGATTAATGCTATATTACTGCAATTGTCAGTACTCTAGTGGCTATGACTTCCTGCACATCCTGTTTGTCACTTTCAATTTTTCATAAAATCGAAATTTTTTGTAAAATGATATGTGTTAGTTACATTTAGTTATGCCTTGATGTATTGTGCAGAGCCCCCCCCCCCCCCCAGAACATGACACTGGATTGGTTAAAATGTTTTGGTTTTTATTAAACATAAAGATCTATATATTTACTTTCAAATAGAACTACTTGTGCTTTAAGTGCAAAACAATGAATGTCTGAAAAGGAAAAGGCTTAAATGCTGGAGAGAAGACACTTTTTTTACTACCATCTATTTGAAAAGGAGAAAAGTACATCACATCCCCGTCTTATATAGAGTTGAGTTTGATCTGAATCAATCGCAAGACCTCTAACTAATTTCAAGTTTGCAGTCCCCTATTGGGATTGATGTCAAAATAAGATGGGGACCAGGACTACTTGTCCTGACATTACGGACCCCTGGACAACTACCTGTCAAAGAATTACCCCAGGACAAGTACCCCCCCCCCCTCCCCTTCATTGGGTAATAACACTCCCCATCCCTCTCCTGGACAACATACACCTGGACAGTTATCCCCAAAGACAATTACTCATTCAGGTCTGTCGCTCTTAGTTGGCCAGGGGGCCAGGGGGACTTTTCCTACGAGGCAATTGTCCTAAAGGGTAGTTTTCGAGAGTGGCGGGGGGGGGGGGGGGGGGGAGTAATTCCCTTAAGGCGGAGGGATTGTTGTTTTGGGTTCGTGTTATAGTCCCCTATTAGGATTGATGTCAAAATAAGATGGGGACCAGGACTACTTGTCCTGACATTACGGACCCCTGGACAACTACCTGTCAAAGAATTACCCCAGGACAAGTACCCCCCCCCCTCCCCTTCATTGGGTAATAACACTCCCCATCCCTCTCCTGGACAACATACACCTGGACAGTTATTCCCAAAGACAATTACTCATTCAGGTCTGTCGCTCTTAGTTGGCCAGGGGGCCAGGGGGACTTTTCCTACGAGGCAATTGTCCTAAAGGGTAGTTTTCGAGAGTGGCAGGGGGGGGGGGGGTTAATTTCCTTAAGGGGGAGGGATTGTTGTTTTGGGTTTGTGTTCTTGGGATACTTTGAAGGGGTGGGGTAGTTGTCCAAAAGAGAAGTGTACTAGAATGAGACAAACAATTAATTTAACAGGACTCTAATGTTTATTTTATCTATTTTTTTATATTCATTGGTGTGAACTTGAAAGAAACTTTTCTACACAGTTATTATAAAATCATGACCTTCTCATTTAGTGTCGATCATGTTCTAAAACATCTGTCCAAAATTTGAAACCTGAATCTGCAGTTCCTTTGAAAATGCCCACCTCCCACACTGTGAAAAGCACAGGAGAGGAAAAGGGCTGGTTGACGTTTCTCGAACAAATTCATCTTATCACAAAAGGAAATTGATCATTTTGAGAGAAGTAATTGCCCAGAAAGTGTCTTTCTTTGTAGTCTGCTACAGGGCACATGGAGAGCATTATGCTGCCGTATCAAATGCCGAGCGTTTAATTTCGAAAAGGAAATTTACTTTATCCAACAACGCAGACATCAACCACCCACACAGTTCCAAAATGTTTCTAGTGTGGTCATTCCCCTTCAAATTTATCAGGAATAAATAGAGAGTCAGCATTATAATATATCCCTTCATATCCTTTTAAAAATGTGATGTTAAAGCTACTATGTTGCTTTTTCAAGTAACATTATAACTGCTAAGATTGTGCATCATAAAGCTGTCTTCAGATGCGTAAAGGGACAAATTATTGAAGGTTTTACCAAATTTGTTGTAGGCTGGTGTGTTTATTAAGAAAACATATTTTTAACTCTGTGTTGAATAATATGAGTTAATGTCCTTCTGGCTCTAAGTAGACATATCCTCCATTCATTCAAAATGGGAACGCAAAAGCTCAGTGAGCGTAGCGTGGTTTTTAAATTAGTTGGTCCTATGTTTGAAAACCCAGGGTTAATATGCTTATTCAATTAGCCAAGGCATAAAACAGTGTTGCCCGATTCCTGGGAAAATGCTTTTAATACAGGAAAGGTTCCCTGGTTACATGTTCATGTTTTGTTCTGTGATCAGGATGGATGGGTGGGGGGGGGGGCTGTAAAAAATGTCTGAAATTAATAGTAATTATCCTTATAATTAATTTTAGTACATTGGTAGGAAATTAGTCGTCGTGGGTCAATCTCATATGATCTCACAAAAAGTTTGTAGGTTAAATATAGTTTTTTTTATATACTTTGATATGTGAATGAAATTTATGGGCAAATATATATATATATATATATATATATATGTGCAAAACAGCAATGTCATCTTTAATGTTGTGTAAGAAATGGAAACCATATGCTGTGTGTGCTTTTCTAGGAAGTGCAATTTACTTATCCCCTAAGAGTGTCATTGTCCTAATTTATTGGCAAACATGGACTCTATGTGGACTAACCTGGATCACCTACCTGCCGTCCTAGAGAGAGGTGAAAGATATCATGTCTACAGCTCAGCGTATGCCCTTGACGGGTTTGTTCCTGTTGTGAGTTCATACTCAAGGACTTGGTGCTAATATGTACCACTCCTGTGACCCTCCCCTTCCCCCTTGTTCTTCCTCCCCCGGGAGTAGAGTGGTTCCTCCCACCTGTCACTTTCCATTTCTCTCAGTTGCTTTCATTTGCAGGCTAGTCCCGCAATAACTTCATTCTTTTTTCCATTTTTGTTGTTTTCAATATGAATCCAGGTGGAGTTGTTCTTTAAAATCATCACCATTGTTGAGTAAGGAACTGTTTTTTTAAATGTTTTCTCTCTCCCTTTCCTCCCAGTGCGAAAATATTATTGAAGATTACGAAGATGAAGTGCTGAGATTGTACAGGGAAAAGTCAACGGACATTGAAACCAGCCTGTGCTCCAGTCTTACAAGTAAGTAAAGCGTGTGCCAAGATCATTGCGTTAGTCTGACGAATCGGGTTGAAAGTGACATTTAAGGTTCCATTTCATATTGAGGAACGGTAATTGGTGTTTATTAAGGATTAGTTGCATGCTTTTCAGATAAAGTCGATGGGAAGAGATAAAGATGTTATCCCACGCATCGTTTATTGTTTAACAAGTGATGTCAACTTGTGAAGATTTGTAGAATATGTATGTGATGTTACGGATGTATTCATTGCTTTCTCAGAAGAGCTTGCAACGTAGGAATAATTTATCTCTGTTTTTATTGCATAACTTTTGATATGAACAATGAATGAGAGTTTTAGATTTAGAAAATAAAGAAGGAACCATGGCGAAAATATATATTCTAAAATGAGACATTGGGCTATTTGTCCCAAAACCAGAACATTAACTGATGTAGAATAGCAAGAAATTAGGTGTTTATTTGTGGCTTTTTAGGTAACACTCAGTAAAATGTGCAAAAGTAAATATCAAAACCACAAACTGGGTGCATTCTTTAAACCCTGCCCTTTTACTTTATATAAGTTGACAAAGATTTCTTAACTTGTTATTTTTTTTTTATAAATGTAATGCTTCCTGGGAGAAATTTCAATTATTAAATATATTTGTGGCTTCCACCCAGTAAATAAGATCGATTGATCGATCTGTATCAATAAGGTCGATTGATCGACCTGTATTGAAAAACACAAGTCAGAAAAAATCTTGGAACCAGCGGGATTAATAATAACTTGTTATTGTCTTTCAAATGGTAACTGTCTGTCTCTACTGAGTAGTAATATCAAATTGTTTTCCAATCTCATCAAAAGGAGTGTAGTTAGCTGTTAAATTTTAAAATGTTTATTTAGAAGATGGACCAATTAGGATGATGATGACTTTAAAGGTCAAGTCCATTGTGATATTAAGTTGGTTTTAATATAAGCAGAAAAATTAGAGGAACAGGTCAGTTGACGTTGAGTAAATTCTGATGAAAAATAAGAAAGTTATGAATTTTCGAGGTTGCGACCAAACATGAATTGGCAACACTTTGATGTATCTTGTGAGCTCCTTTGATCCATTTCAAATCAGGAATCAGAGCTTTACAAGACTTATAAGCTAAGGTTGGCATAGTAATGACTGAATTTTGAATATAGCTTTTTTATGTCTAAGAATAGAAAATATTTACAAATTTTGCCATGTGAATGGATAGTATTCTTATTCTCACTTGTATTTTAATGTATTTCTCTTTCTCCTCAGAACTTTGTGAGGGTTCATCGTCAGCGCACACCGAGTTATGACCCCCAGGCTTATTTCATTAGTACGCTAAGTAACGGAAACTATTGATCAATGATTTTAAGTAGTTTTGATAGTGGTTCATCAGAATATACAGATATCCCTTTTATTTGAGGCACAAAGTAAACCTTATGAATAAAATTGATTGTATTTGCCAAGAGCATTCCGTTAATGTGTGTGAGAACTTTCATAAGAGAGCGCAAAGGGTATTGATAGTATTTTTTCAGGAAGCAGCAAATATTTGTGTAGGTTTACAAAATATTCAATGCAGAAATTAAAGGGGGTGCACCAAGCTGCTATAATGAAATACAAATATTATGAAATGCATAAGAAACAAAATGTGCTACATGAATATGTACATATGCATTTAACTGTTTATTTAAAGTTTCATAAAGAAACTGGCAATGTCAATTGCTATTACATGTCCTTCATAAATCAAGAAGTTGATATAAACTATAATTGCAAACATCACAGCTCAATCAAGATGAATTAGAGCTGACTGTTGGCAAAACTACTCTACTAAATTCTTTTGCGTGAAATAGCACCATATGTTTTAAAAGAGTGAGATATAATACAAGTATGTTGTAAACATGTGATGTTACTGATTGTGGTGCACCTGTGGATACAGCACTTATATGGCATCTGTTGAGCGCCAGAAGGGAGTTAGCTCATATACCTTAACACATAGGCAACACCCTTCTGCTTCGGACAGACAATGTGTACATTTAAGTCCAGATTATAAAGATCAATGTGCCTAAGTTCACCCTCATGAGAATCATCATGTTCCTTACTCTTCCACATGTGGAAATTCTCTTTCAAAATTGGTTTCACTTCTTTTTAACTATCTTTCCTAGCCTTTGTCATAGCTCTAGAGATTGGGCTGGTTTTGACTTGCTTACAGGTAGATTGAGTCTTTATGAACCTGATCATGCCTTTTGCAAGACCTAACAACATAATTTCAGGTATTATGTAAATGTTACCCTTATTCTTGCTCGAGATACCTAGGTGTGAAATTTATGAATTGCACAAATCTTATTCTATATTCTTAAGATTCACAAATCTTATGGCAAATCTTATTTTATATTAGTTATTAGCCAGAGAACAGCCTCTTTGGCAAATTTTCAGCCAGGGCTTTGCTGACCGTCTCAGGGCAAGTTCATTGTACATTCTTTCAAACATTTGCCCGGCTGATATGTTTCCTTGCCTCAGAGCATCAAACAAATTCATAATTTTTCTTAGTATTTGTAGTGATCTATCAGTAAACCTGTCCCAAAGCATCAACACTGTCACATCAACTAAATATTGTAATGTCATTCCATCCAACAACAACCAAAACATTCACACCACTAATTCATTCTTTCATTCTCCAACAAGTGCCTCCCGATGCCGCTGGGCATTTTGTTATTTTCATGTTTTATCAGAAAGGGAGAAGTATTTTACCCCTGTTTTAAGGTGCCTCTCTTTATTCCATTAAGTCAGTGTTATGGGGATCAATATCATTGGGTAATGTAATGGCACATCGGTAGAGAGTTAGATGGAAGTTGTCACTGGAGAGACCCCCAAAATAAATTGAAATCAATTGATCGTGTATGCACTGCACTTTTCATATATTCGTTGAGTGATTTGCCTTGTGGCATGATGTGTCATCATCGTGGCAACGTTTCTTGGCTGTTTAGGGGAGTAATTATCAGCCCTAGTTGGTGTTTTTGTAATTGTAGTTATTGCTTGTGATTTTTTTATTTGGGGTCATATTCTAAGTGCTTGACGCAATTGAAGAAGACAAGTGTTCTTCTCAAGTCTTTTTAACGTCACAGAAGAGACACTCCAGATTCAATCTTTTTTCAAGATAAAATATTTCAGACTTGTTTTCAACTTTTTAACTGTTTGTACGAAGGAGTCTTTTCCAAGATAAGTAAAAGTTGCCATATTAACTTTCAAAAAAAGTAATTCCTGTATTGTACCCTAGTTGAAAGTTTGAATATCATTTGTAAGGATTTATAATAGGTGCCGACTTCAATATTTATATGTATATATCATCACCTTATATGTTTCAAGACGTGATATATAACTTATCCTTTTCTTTCATTAGGTGTGAATTTGAAAAGTTATTGGAAATATTTCATAAAGCATTGTTTGTTCCTTTAAATAATGTGATTGTGCCTATTAAGATTATTGCGATTATATATGATTTTGTATATCAATATCACATTATATTATTATGCACCAAACAAGTCCAAATTAAACCACAATTGCCTTTTCCATGTTTATACCAAAAGTTATGTTTGATTTGAAGTTGAGTAGGATATGTAAAGTGGAACACAGTATCGTGTTAAAGTGAAATATAAATATTGTTTTGGTGGATTTACTATACTTTATAAATGTGAAATCGTCAGTCGGAAAGCAACTCTGTTTATTTTTTCCCTTTTTTCGTGTAGTTGTGTCTTCAACTGTGTAGAAGAGAAATAAGAGAGTGAGAGCCTAGAGAAATCAAGTGAATGAGATGATGACTACATTGATGAGATATGATCATATTGAGGATAATGCATGAGGAGGGTGACGGTAAAGAGGGTAGTGGTGGTTTTGGTGATGGTAAAAATGATCTGATTGCAAATGGTGATGTGAATATTATGCAGTCGAAGAGTTTGGGAACAGAAAAAGAAGATATTAATGTCTGCTTCAAGGGTAGTAACTTTAAATGTAGATACAACCTACCTTGCACTGATGAATTAGATTTGTGATGGGTTTCTCTTTATTCATCATAGCTTTATTCATCTTTTTACTTACCCTTTTTTCCATCCACTTAACGAAACCATGAATTAGAGCCCTGAATCAATTTTATTTTTTGAAATGTTTGCATTACCGATAAAACAAGGGGAATAACATCTTAAGAGGAATAGAATAACGGAGTGTCTAACTTGAGCTTATCTTCTTTCCTGCCTAGCTGCCTCGCCTGCCAGTCTTGGCGTAGCCAAAAGTTTTTAGAGTCCCTTGTTTGTGGCACGATACTCCTGAGCTAACAGACCCTAATGGTTTGCTCCAACACCGACTGCCTGAGTTTGATTGACTAAAGCGGTTTAGAATGAGGCGGTTAGTCGCTTGGCCCAACATCAGCGCGACTCAAGCAAATGTCAACGAAAAATGAATACACAAGTTTACGCTTTGGACAGCCGATCAATAGCGCAGCACTAGGCACGGAAGATCTCTTCCTTCATTTTACGTTGAAGGGAGAAAGAAAAAAAAAAGCTTGAAAATATTGAAACAGGTGGCGGCGCTATGTAGACATAACCTTCGAATTTCTGCCTTGAGAAGATTTCTTCAAATTCGTTTAGTCAATCTCGAGTCACCCAAGCATGGACTTAAGACAATTAGAATAACTAGAATTGAGGTTTTTTCTCCGCCGAACATACATCTCGATAAATATGCATTATCTCTTACCCCGGTAATTTAATGACGGTTCGACGATCAATCAAGCGAACTCTTGAAAAAACTACTTCTCTCAAAAACGTTGGCAGGACACTGTCGCTAGCTGTCCGTTTTGATTATGATTTGATACAGTATTTGACACAGGCCTTATGGTTGATGACAGTAAGTTGACATTCAAAATTCAATTAGCCATAATTATTAACGATGACAGAAAATATGGTTTGGGTGGCAGCTTTGTTTATCAATATCAATAGCGCGAAGAGTCGAAGAGAGGCACTAATGCCTTTCGAAGAAACAAATCCGTCAAGAAAACAGTTTGTATTAGTGTGCGAAACAACAATAACCGCTCATGGCCATGGCATGCATCCATGGAATGAACGTGATTGTTTTTTAAAACAAGAATTTCTAATAGTTGAAACTACGACAAAATTGTCAGAAAATGGGCGGTATGATGTTTGAAAAAACGCGAAAGTTTAAAACAAACCTTTGATGACGCAGACTTGTTCTTTTCTCTATGTGAATCTGCTCACGATAAAGGTAAATTGGAGATTGAGAGTATCGAAAGTGTCAAAGAATTTAGTTGTGTGGAGGTTGATGCTCCCTCTAAGTTATGCAATCAAATTTTTTTTACTAGACATAATTATTAGTCCGATAAAGCAAAGTTTGTTTGTGTTTTGTTTTCTACGTTTTCCTTTGTTATGTTCTGTGAGTTAGTTCATAAGCATTTTAAGCTCCCCCCCCCCCCCCCCCCACCTAAACAAATCTGAATGACCGCTAAACCTTACAAAGGCGCATTGCAGAGGAAAATGATGTAAATTGAGCCATGATGTGAAAGATAATACCCCCAAGAAAATCGACTTGGTATATGAAAGGAACCCATGAAATTTTGCCTACACCGTCTTATTAAATCCAAATCACACATGTTTATCGTAATAACAAATTTCTCATTTAATATAAGATGTAGCTGTGGGGTTTACCAAAATCGTTATTAACTGAAGAATCAATATTGTACAAGAAACCGGAGCTGGACTGACGAGTTGTCCCCAAACACAGTTAATATTATTTATTGATTGTTAATATGATTTGGATACTGACTTGTGTTTCGCCCAAAGGGCATAATAAGTTCTTTTGGTAAGACAAACCCCAGTTGAACGTTGGTGAGAGGGTGACTATACGCCAGGTTTTTTATGTCAGAATTTTACGTGTACTTTGTCATATTGATCACTAAAATGCCAACGCACTGCATGAGCAGCACAAAGTTTCACCAGGAGTTTGAGCTAGCAGGGCAAGTTTGATGGTAAGAAATATATCTATTAAAACCACAACAACTTTTGGAAGTTCGTGTTGTGTCTCCAAGAGAGATGATAAGGAGAGTTTGGTGATTGAAGTCTGGAGGGGGGCCTCCTCCATCATCCATATTATAATGGAGATTTCCCAGTATCTCAGTGAGTGACATAGCATGGATCGTTTGGTAGTGGTGGTGGGGCGATCACAGGGGGGGGGGGGGGTGATAGGGCAGGCGCGGATACAGGATTTCTTAGGGGGGCCCAAATTTGAAATCAATTTGAAATTTAGTGTGCTGAAATTTGAAAATCGTGCCGGCCAATATTTCGCTCAGTGGAGGAGGTGGAGGGGGGGGGGGGGGGGGGGGGGGGGGGGTATTGAGTACTAATTTTTTTTTTTTTGCTCCCGAAAATTTGAAAATCGCACCGGCCGATAATTCGCTCAGTGGGGGGGGGGGGGGTAGTGAGCACTTTGGAAAGCAGGAAACCTATTCTACTTCTTTTTTTTTCGCCCGTCGTCTTTTCTTTCATATTTACGGAGTTAAAAAGGCATGCCTAAAGATTTTCTGTTAACATTCATTTTTTCTGATGAAATATAGATTGACATATTTGATTCTTTATACTTTATGTATATTCTTGTGCCTATGCCACACCAGCACCCCTCCCATTCTCTCTTTCTCTCTCTCCATCTCTCTCTCTCTCTCTCTGTCTCTCTCTCTCTTTCCGTATCGGACACAATACATATGCACCTAACCCTCCAAACGCACACCCTTTCTATCCTACCCCTCTAATAGAAGCAAAATGAATCTATCAAACGGGGGCGAATCCGTTGATAGCGGAAAAAGAAGACCGGTTAATAGTGCTATCAGTCGCGCGCGCAAACAACTTTATGTTTACTCAGCCATCTTCTCTCGTTTGCCACCGCAACGTCATCTATATTAACACGTCCGTTCGTTCCTTTGCTCAGCCTCTTCAGAACACGCGTGCTCCCACCATTACCCAATTACCTCCAATTAATACAGCACGGGCCGGGGGGCAATAGTGATGCGGAGATGAGTAAAGAGAATAATCGGTGTCGCGTGCGCAAACACTCTTCTATAATAGTAGTAGGGCGCGGCAGAGCGTCAATATGAGCCCAATATTGTGCATTTTGTGATAAAAACACCAAATTTGGCGCACAGGTTGTTTGACGTGGTTTTTAGTAGAAAAGGTGGAGGTTGAGCCATACCATGTCGAAAGCTACCGAATTCTACCTCTCATTTTAGACCCATCGAATTTGAGATGGCTCAAGACCCAATTTTACTCTAAAATTGTCACTCTACCTGTGTGCCAAATTTGGTACTTTTATCACAAAATGCACAATTAAATTGCTATGCCGCCCACTTTAAAGAATTTCGTTAATCTGATTATATTATAGGCTATATAGTTGTGTGTTAATTTCTGTGATTGTGTTTCTCTGTAAAATTGTAAGGTTTCCCTTTCTCCACCCGACCCAACCCCGCCCTTCTCCATCCCCTTTCTCTCTCTCCCTCTCTCTCTCTCTCTCCCTCTTTCTCTTTCTCTTGCTCACACTCACACGCACACAGTCATGCACACATTGTTTTCTATATTTCTTTCTCTCATCTTTCTCCTTCTTTCTCCCTTTTTATTTTTTCTCTATCTTTCATTAAACTATTTTTTCTTTGCACTTCACTTTTTTTTCATTCTTAAAATCTTAACAATCTTTAAAATTCTAATGTTCTTTTTAATAATTCGACGAATGTGGAGGCAATTTGGTTGCCTTTTCCATAGATCGTTCTATCATTAATTTCCATTTCTTAATCGTTAAAAACTGAAACTATAGCCCACAAATAACTTTCCACAATTATCATTTCAATCAATAGAGGTGTCAAGTAAAATCTATCAAACACATTGCCTTCATTTCAGTTACATTTTATAACGTATTATTGCTGTTTATTTTACTCCTTTGTTTCAACTATCATTACTCTATAATATTATGTCAGACTCTTAGTCTACAGATCTAGGTTTTATGATAGGTTTTTTTTTCATCTGTTAAAAATTATTCTAAATCTTTTGAACTGAAAAAAGACTTATATGGGGGTAAAATACTTGTTAGTCTGTCTTACTTGTAAGATGTAAGTGTTGTTTTTTTTTAATGGAATGGGTGAACTTTGAAAGTAAAATCATGATTATTAAAGAAAACATTAAAGTATGATTTCGCTTAATTGCAACAACGAATACTGATAAAGTGGCACGCGACTATAACACCTTGTCAATTATGAAGATACCACTATAGGATTACATCATCTGCAAAGTTTTGCTGTGTGCAGCTGAATCAACGGATGTCGAATAAACGAATGGTGAACTGATGATTCAATTTCAAGAATTTTTGTCAGATCCATCATTATCTATCTCCATCTCACTCGATTTGATTGTTTCTGCTTTAAAAAAAGCTTTGATGGAATTGGATGTTAATGTTTACCGTCATGACTGGAGTTCGAGCCCCGAAATCGATGTCAAATGGGTTCTTCAAGAAACGAGTAAACGGGCAGGATAAACCATGCTGCCCGCTGAATAAAGACTGCCCCGTTAATTGATCAAGTATAGCCAAGATAGATTACAACTTAGGTGAAAGCCAACTCAAATAAAGACTATTCGAGTTAGAAAAGACATGGAAATGTTTTGTATTAATTGATGA